TGGTTTCTGAACATTTTGGAATTCGAATGAACTTCCGGAATGGACTCCGTTCGACTTCCAAGGTACGACTGTACCTGAGAGGAGGGGACAGCACCACAAAGTGCAAATTCATCTCATAAAGCACCACCACTAGCGTGGATTGGAAACACTGAGATACACGTGTGCACAAAAGAAAACATGGAACAATCTGTTTAGTGTGGCCCATGTGCACATTAACATTCTGGCACGTACACAGCTTGACTCAGACAAGTAGTGCATAGAGCTAGGGCTAGGCAATGTATCAATATATAATCCAAAACCACTTTGAAGTCCATATCGTAATATCGGTTTCATAATTTTTGACCCGGCAACACACATGTGTGTGTGTGTGAGTGCACTATGCAAAAATCACAATGTGGGAAAAACCCCGAAGCCAGCCAATGTCTCTACATAGCTCCATCCTTTTGTGATATATCAATATATTGTGATGTTTAGCTGGTGATATATTGCAATGTTGAAAACCAGATATTGCCCAGCCCTACATATAGCTCAGTATTATCTACACTGACCGGCAGCTGCTCTCCTTGGTTTCTCCCAGCCTTACATGGAGACGCCAGGGATTGAACATGGAACCTTCTGTGTTTAAAACAGCTGCTCGGCCACTGAGCTATGGCCCTTCCAATGGGAAAGACCTCTGAGTGTCCCAGACCTCCTCAGCAGTTGTTGCCAGTCAAAATAGACAATACTGAGCTAGATGGGCAAACGGTCTGACAAAGGGCACTTCTTAAAGTTCAAAAATGCTTAGGGAAGGTCTTTTAGGAATCTTACAGCTTCAATTTACAAGTCTGTATTTTGACCTGTGGTTCAGAAAACTCCCACCAGAAGTTGGCACTCGGGAATCAAATTAAAAGCACAGAGCCCACAAAAAGCCAGCCTTGAGTCCACCAAGCATTAGAAGACATTCAATGAATGCTGTGGTTTAGGCTCGCCGCAGTACTTTAAACCCATTTCTCCCCTTTGCTGATTTTCCTCGCTTCCAAATGCTGACATCTGCTGGAGCTGCACACATACTGCACCTTCGTTTCATTAGAAAGAATTGTATCTTGCGTTTGTAGAGTAGGCAACTCTTATTTAAGAACCTGATTGATCCCTGGGGAAAACTTGTGTTGCCTAGTCATCCATGGTCAGCCTGAAAATGTGCCTGCACCTCACTCTCTTGTATTTTTGTAACTCTTTTTGTTGGTTGCATGAAGTTATATTGAGTATATTGCAAGCCAACCTGAGAAGTGGATTAATTACATTAGGAGGACAGAACGAGTAAGAACAGCCGACCTGAAACTTGTGGGATCGTAGCTTGACGGCTGGCCAGCTGAAATCACACAAATTATCTTTGGAAAGATAGGGATGGTCACATGGAAGCGATTCCGACTCCACACTTTAAATGAAATCCCCCAGTATGTAATCCTGGTGCAAGTTCCAAGTCTACTGTACTTGAATGAATGCTTTTGCTGGCTATGGATAGTCTGCCACTGTAGAACTTTAAGTGTTTTGTTTTTAACCACTTCATTTTATTTACCGTATTTGATTATTTGACCTGTATGTTATGATCTTTTGCACATCGCCTTGAGATGTGTGCATAACAGGAACTATTCAAGCATTTATATACTGTAAATATAACAGCTACGACATTCTTTCATTCAGCTGCTTACTTTATTTCATATTTGACGAAAGATACCCGACTCCTGTTTCTCACCTCTGGTACAACTAGAGGAGCTTTGAGGTAAAGTGACAGATTGTTCCCACTAGATGGACTGAGCTGTGGAACTAACTGGTTGGGGTGGAAGTTTTGGGGATTTGGCCTGAGGTAAAAGGGACGCGGGTGGCGCTGTGGGTAAAAGCCTCAGCGCCTAGGGCTTGCCGATCGAAAGGTCGGCGGTTTGAATCCCCGCGGCGGGGTGCGCTCCCGTCGTTCGGTCCCAGCGCCTGCCAACCTAGCAGTTCGAAAGCACCCCCAGGTGCAAGTAGATAAATAGGGACCGCTTACTAGCGGGAAGGTAAACGGCATTTCCGTGTGCGGCTCTGGCTCGCCAGAGCAGCGATGTCACGCTGGCCACGTGACCCGGAAGTGTCTCCGGACAGCGCTGGCCCCTGACCTCTTGAGTGAGATGGGCGCACAACCCTAGAGTCTGTCAAGACTGGCCTGTACGGGCAGGGGTACCTTTACCTTTACTAAAAGCCACTTAGAGGATAGGGCTAGTGACAATGTCACTTGAACCTTCAGAACCAGTCAACCACCACATTTAAGACCTCAGTATAAGTCCATATGTGCATAGCAACTCTTTAATAAATCAATAATCTTAAAATTCATCCCGTCTCTATGGCTTGTGTTCATCTCACACCTAAGCCTCCTGTATCAGCTGCTAGGAGGCCTTTAAACATTCTGAGTAAATTGGTGGGAGCAAAAAAATTTAAAGCAGTGTTACCTAAACTTGTGGTTGCCCAGGGGAGGCTGAGGGAACTGGCATCCCTGACAGGCCTTCAGAGTGGTTTGAGGTGTGTACCCCTGGGAAAGATGAAGCACAGCTCTGAATTATTATAAGGCAGTATCACATGCTCATGAACTGAAAGGTGAAATGTAGATTATTCCTCGTAGCTTCGGCATTGTCACAGACTTAGCAGAAAGCTATCAAGCAGCGGCAAGTATGTTTCTGAGTATCTACGTGATCAACCGAATGCTTACTTTCCAAGGGGAATTAAGCCAACAAAACTGTACATACAAGATTCTGAAAATAATCCACTCTGCTATGAAGCTCCCCAGAATCGTTAGTGGCTCATTCCCAGCTGAGATATTTAAGTTAGGAACATTGATTAAGTCAGAATGAGAATTAGCAATTAAAAAGGGTGACCTGGAGTGGAAGACAGCAGCAGGTAAAATGTTGAGTTTTACCGGACAAAGCAGAAGACAGGAAATATCCCCAAAATATCAGGCTTTAAAAAAAAGGTGGGGAAAGCAAGCATCTAGCTGTTAAGTCTGTGAGGAGAACTTGAAATATGAGGGGAATGACTGGTGAAAAGTTCAGGAGACAGAAGCAAGGGCCCCAGAATATGATTGCTAGTGATATAGTTTCAGGATTCTGCAATGCTCTTTACCCAGCTCTGTGACTATCACAATATTGGGCAAATAAATGTATGTGAAATTGCACAACCTTTCTCCTGCTGAAAATGTAGTAGTGTAGTCACCCGGGCCAAAGGGGATACTGTATTATTTTCACTCATCTTAGAAGTTCACTCAGGTCGCGTCTGTTATTTAGGCGGAACTCCGTTGTGTACATTGACAGCGGCGCCTATAAATACAGGCCGGCTGAGCTGTTCGCAGTCAGTTCTATTCCAGCTTACCAGAATAAAGAGCTACTTGAAGAAATCGCTGTGCCGGCTGCTATGTCAACCCACGACTTAACACTGGCGACGAGGATGGGATAGATGGACATCAGAGCACAGCCAGATGCGGCCAGCCTCTGAACTGAGCTGAATCACTGAGCTGAATCACAGAGCGAAATCACTGAGCGAAATCACTGGGCAGAACCAATTCAGAGCTGACTGTTCTGGCTAGAGCACTGTGTTCCATCCATCGCCCTTCACGCCGGCATCGGAATCATGGCTTCACTTGTGCCTCTACCGCCGTTTGCGCCAGCCTCTGAATCGTGGGACTCCTACCTCGCTCGGTTCGACTGCTACCTCCAAGCCAACGAGCTGACAGCAGTATCAAAGGATCGGAAGCGGGGCCTATTCCTCAGCCTCTGTGGGCCTGAGGTGTTTGAGACGGCCCGAGCGTTGGTTGCGCCTGAAGCAGTCCAGGCAACACCATGGGACACAATCCAAGAGAAGCTCCGCAACCACTACGCACCAAAGCCGTCCAAGATTGCTGCCCGCCATGCGTTCTACCACCGGAACCAGGCAGAGGGGGAGTCAATCAACAACTACACCACCGCCCTGCGACAGGCTGCAATGCACTGTGAGTTCCGAGACTTAGACGATGCCCTGATGGATCGAATCGTCTGCGGGGTCCGGGACATCCATCTGCAACGGCGCCTCCTAGCCAAGCCAGACCTCACGCTACAGAAAGCCATTGAGGAGGCTGTGGCCTCAGAAGCTGCTGAACGCTCCGCCCAGGAGATCCGCAAGTCCAGCAGCCCGCGTCTTGCTAGGGAGCCAGTTCCGGTGCATCATGAAGAGGCCAGCAGTGAGGAGGCATCCTCCAGTGAAGACGATGACGTGCACCAGACAAAGCGGGAGCGCAGGAAGTTCCAACAGAAGTCCAAGGGCCAACCGGAATGTGCTGGCTGCGGAGGCAACCATTCCCGTGCCAAGTGTCGATTCAGAGACGCCATCTGTAGGAAGTGTTCCAGAAGGGGCCACATCGCTAAGGTCTGCCGATCGGCTCCGTCTGACACCCCCCCTTCATCGACTCGCAAGTCCAAGTCTTCACTCCAGTCTGCCAAGGAAAGTTGTTTCGCTCTCACCAACTGCCGCTGCCCGTCTGGAACCACGATTGGCCAAACCGACTCGCCTACGCGACGCAAGCTGAACGTCACGGTGCTCATTGAAGGAGCTCCATGTGACATGGAGATCGACACCGGGTCTGCCCTGTCCATCGTGTCATGGAGCACCATCAAAAGACTGGTACCCAGAGTTCCCGCCTAAAATAACAGACGCGGACCTGAGTGAAAACTATCTACAGACCTGAGTGAAAACTATATACAGTATCCCCCTGTTGGCCCAGGGTGAAACTACACTACATAACAAAAACAGTCCTAAAGGAACTTGTTTGTGGGCTTTCCAGGTGCGCATCATTTGAATCTGTGTTTGGACACCCCACTCCACAGATGAACTTTTGAATGCAGCAGAGAACCCAGAGGTGTTCAGAACAGTGGAGCCCTCTCTTGAGACAAAAGGCTTTATTTAAAATACCCCCACAGAGGTCACCAAGGGTTCTAAAAATCACAACAAGAGACACTGCAGAGCAAAGAGAAAATGAAGTAGAAGTATTTATTAAAACTAAAAGCACAGATAATGAACAAGGCACACAGAGGTGCATTGCCCTCAATGTTCAGGCACTGGGATTTGCTGGAGTTTTTGCAATGCACTTAGGTGCTTGGCTGCTGAAGGACCCAGAGTTCCTGGCTTGGCACTTACAGGAAAAGGTGCAATCCTTAAGAACCACCACAATATCCCAGCAACCTTTAGCCGCCCAAACTGAATGGCATCGCTTTCTGAAAATGCATTAAGCACCCACCTCCAAGACAAACTACACACACCTTCTTGCCGAGGCAGAAGACACCCTCTCTCCTCTGCTGTGCTTCCAATTTTAATAAAACAACATGACAAAAGCCAATCTCTACTTGAACTTGCCCATACTTTTCACTGGAAGTAGTAACTGAGACGTACTGGAAGGAGAAGAAGAATCATACACAATCTAGGCTTTTACTTCTTTGCTCCAGTAAATAAAGGCTTTTCAAAGCTATTGGTATATGTGTTCTATAAGTGCTCTCATCTGGGTTAGAAAAAAAACAGGGAGGGAGAGAGCCTGCTCCCATCCTCCTCCCCCTCCCCAATCTGCTGCCACTTCTCACAACAGGTTCGCGGGTCGATACCAGTAGAACTTTCTGTAGCTAGACATCCATGCTTAAATTCAAGATACCTGGAATATCAGATATAGGACTTTTCTCAAAACAGCCCCCTGATTCATTAGCTCTTTTATTCGTGAGTTTACCTGGATCCCCCAAAATACATATTAAGCACTACAGTTAAGTGGCTGGTTTCCCCCTTGTCAACTCCTTGAAAGTTCTGTAGGCCTATAGGCCACCATTTCAACCAAAGAGGCTCTGCTGAACTTTATGCAAATATCACACACACACACACACACACACACACACACACAGTCTGACTCTTCCACCATGCAAGATCAACTTGCACGGCACACACCAACATCTCACAGGCTGCGAGGTGCTGTTCCTTTGTGCTACTCATCGTAACTTTTCGCCAGGCGACAACAAATGGGTTCCATCAGCAAAACCAAGAAGTGTCAACAGGGCAAATGTTGGGCGGAAGAGTGGATGTAAGGTTAATAAATAAAACAGAAGGATGCTTTATGATACTGGTTTGTTCCTGGCTTTTGCAATCACCGGTTTGGGGGAAAGTTTATTAAGTGTATCAAAACCTCAAAAGGCCTCTGAAACGTGCTATGGTATGGAAACATCAGGCACTTTGTAGGAATCAGGGAACATGCTCTGAGTCAGGAACAGGGCAAACCCTTGGAAAAGGACCGTCCCCACCAAGAACAGCAAAGCAGCACATGGAACAGGCACACCAAGAGGAACAGCTCATCTCAACAAGCCATTTGGAAGCAGTGGCACATTATGGCAACAGCTTGTTGGTCTAAGCACTGGCCTTTGCTGAGAAGGAACAGAATTCCCTAAAAGGTATCCACATCTTAATGAAGAGAGATAATCAGACCTGAGTCTTCTGCACCTAACCTAATAGAGCAGCCTTCCCACAACCTGTTGCCTTGGACTACAACTCCCATCATCCTCATAGACATGGATGGTGGGAGTTGTAGTCCAAAAGCGTCTAGAAGGCGACAAGTTGTGGACAGCTGTAGCACAGGAAAGTAGCTCAAGCTCAAGCGATCCAAGTCCTGCAATGCTAGTTCTGATCTGAACTAGAAAATGGTAGATATTTAAAATAACACACCATGGCACCCATGTGTCTGTGTTCGTGTGCGTGTGTATTTTCCGTGGAAAATATAACTCCTAACATTTGCTTCAAGACGGACTAGCAGGGGACCAGACGGCTAGGAGAGTTAGCTGCTTCTCCTTTTGCAATGACTACAGAGCCTAGGCACAGGATGGTTACTGTACTGGTTGTTTCAGCTTTACTTTGACCTACACAGTAGGAGGGAAGAACACATGTTGCAGGCATAATATTTGCCTGACTGGCAGTATGTGTCTCCACCTTTATAAAATCATGGGCTGTCCAATTCCAGCAAAGGGATCTTCAGGCACGTGGATGAACGTCCAAGAGCTCATACTCTGCAGAGGTATGTACATGTTGCCTCTGCCCTTTCCTCATCTACTCTTTGTGCATTTTTGCACAGAGGGCCTATGGGGGGATTCTAACCATGTTCAGTAAGACACAGCTACAACCTCCAGGCACCTGGGAACCCTGGGAAATCAGAGATACCAATGGAAGGTATTCGAACTGCATCCCACTGTTAGATGCAGTTAGATGCATCCCACACCTTAACTCTGAATGAACAATGGCTGGAAGAGGAGAGGGCAACACTCACAGCCCCTACAAAGCTTAATGCCAGATTCACACCATACATTTAATGCAGTATGATACCACTTTAAACCGTCCTGGCTTCCCCCAAAGAATTCTGGGAGTTGCAGTTTGTTAAGGGTGCTGAGAGTTGCTAGGTGACCCCTATTCCCCTCACACAGCTGCAGTTCTCAGAGTGGGGTTTAACACTCAATCCCTCTTCGAAGGGGACTCTGTGAATTGTAGTCATGGGAAGGGAATAAGGAGGGTCTCCTCAGTAACTTTAAACAGCTCCCAGAATTCTTTGCGGGAAGCCATGACTATGCAAAGTAGTATTGTGGTACTTTAAAAACATGGCGTGAATGTGACCTAAATACTCCCAATCCAAACACCTAAGGAGGGCTAAAGAACCTTTCTGTTTATGGCAGCCAGGAAAAGCCTAATTCAAAAAGGCATTGTTCTTACTTTCCCCCTCAGACAGAAGAACAACTTCCAGCATGGTTTTAGGCTATGTGCGACCCAGTGCCATGATGCATTCCAGGGTCCGTAGCCCTCTCATTCTAACAGGCATACACAGTTTCTTTTTTCTTATAAAACTAGCCCAAATGGATAGGGCTGTTCCACAAATGTACTGACACCACAAAGAATGCCTACAGGCACCACGTTGCTGAGTAATAAAGCTTTGCACACAAACACACTCACCCACCCAGCTGCCTTTTTTGTGAAGCAAGGGTCCCTTACAAAGCAGGGGGACACTTTGGTGAGTCCTGGTAATTGAAATTTGCTAGGCTAATGAAAAAGGAAGGCACCTAGGGGACAGCACCGAGAGCTGCCTTGTCATATGCTATCCAGCCGGCAACATTCACACTCCTTTATAAGGTTTCACTCGATTTATCCTTGCTTCCCAACAACTGAAGGTACTTACCAAAATGGACAAGCCCAGGATGATGCTTGTCCTTCCTCAGACTCCTGTAACTAAAGCTGCATGTGTCTCTCTCCCTTCCCTTCCTCCTCAACACGGAGTATTCCTGTACAAGATGAACCTGCCGTTCATTTTTCTACCAATAAATAGCATTTCAGCACAACAATATTGACCAGCCACACCTCCCACCACACGGATGGGACACAAGAGCAACCTCATCCTACCAGACCCCAACAGCTCATCTACAACACGCCGGCTACTCATTTCTCAAACTCTCTTCCTCCATTCCTCATTTTTCTAGGCTAGCTATTCTACCAGGATACAATATGGCCTCTTTCCCTGCATGCCTGGACATGCAGAGGTCCACTTCATGCAGTCTCCTCTTCACTTGCCCTTTAACCTTCCAGAAACACTGGATGGAGCCCACATAAATAATAAATAAATAGTATGAATTCATGATTTCTGGAGAAAACCCCATAGTGCTTAGCACAGGGGGAGGGGGGATGTTCGGGCAGTGCACAGACTGAAGGTCAGTCAGTATTCACGCCTTTTGCTTCGCAGGGGAGGGTCAAACAGGTCTCCAAGCAAGAAAAAAGAAAGAAAAAAAAAAGGCATTTGTCATATACGGCTTTACATTATTAACTGCACCACAGCCAGGAAACAGAATTCCTTGCCTTTCTGGAGACTAGCGAGCCACATTTTGCTTCTCTCCTGATGGAGCAAAACGTTCTTGGCTGACCTCACCTTAATCACTGTCCCCTCCTGCCTTCTGCTCATCAAAAGAGAAGCAACAGCTAAATTCAATTGCCATCTAGCTTACTTCTTTTTTTCTAAAAAAAAAGTCGCACCGAACCCATCCCCAGAAATGAACTTCTTCTACACACAAAGGTGGGGAGACTCAGAGGCCTTAAAAAAAAAAAGGGTGAGGTGTGGGGAGCCCAAAATAAATAAATAATCTATATAGAATCCTCCTTAAAGCTTTATCATGAGTAGGACCTCATGCCCCAGGCTAATATCCAGAAACAACTCAGCCCGTCATTCCTGGCTTCCTTATATTCACTTCTCTTTTGCAACCAGTATATATATATATATATAAAACAACTAAGGGGGAGAAGCAACTCTTCAGGCACATCTGATTATCTATTTTGTTTCACTAGTTTTGAGCAGCTTCCCCCCACCCCCCAAAAAATAAAAAATTACTGAAAGGTTCCCTCAGCACCATCCTGCACAATTCTACACACTTGGCTTCCTTTCCTCAAAATGGCCATTATTTCACTACAGGATTACAAATCTCAGGTTTACACCTTGCCGGCAAAAAGAACTCCCCCTCCCCCCCCCATCACCTCTGATCCTCAAACTGTAAATTGTTGGTGTCTCAATGCCAGCCAACCAGAATGACCTGGTCTGTAGGACAATGGGGTGTCAGGTTATCACCAATTATTACTTAGAAGTACTGTTCTTGCCTTTTTTTCTTCCACAGCTGGCTGGCAGAGAGAGGTGCCCCTCTCGCAATGAATATCCAGGCCATTACTGCCCTACACCCCAGAGGCTTTGCTGACAGAAGGGAGGGAGGAGCGCGTGTTCTCAGAAACTCTTCTGACTGTCACAGTTTCCAAGGCAAGAGAAGAAATTGCTCACAGTAAGGAGCGATGGTGGGGTGGTTTGCCCACAGCAAAATTCAGTTTAAAGTGAGGACTTGGGGAAAAGAGTGGTTGAGCGAGAGTTAAGTTAGCTGTTGCTAGGGCAACAGCATTAACTACTAGGACTGCCCCTATAGAGTCAAAACATGGCACCAGAGAATCAAGATGGCCCTGGACACTACTACTATGGGCCTGGACGCAGCAGGCCCACTGGAAGGCCACAGAAAGGGGCCTGCAACATTCACAGCAGCCATTAGCTTCACAGCCACCTTCTTCAGCCGCAGCGAGGCGGCTGGCGACAGGAAGCCAAGAACTGAATCACACCCCGGCCACTGCTGCCTTCTGTTTCCTCCCCTGGAGTCCTCTCTGCAGCGCATCGGCCGAGGAGGCTGCAGCCGGCCTTGCGATTACATTCAGACGTCAGCTCTGAGAGGATGCCCCGTGGTGGGGCAGGGCTAGCTGAGTGGCGCTCCCCACCCCACCCCACCTGAGGACGCTCAGAAATCCAAGGAAGTCAAGTCTCCGAAATCACAGTCAAAGAGCTCGCTGATGCCCTCGCCCTCCTCGAGCCCAAAGTGATAGTCCTGGGTCGGCGAAAGCGCAATGAATTCGGCAGGTAGGAAGCTTGAGAAGTCCTCCTTGCCCTGCTGGAGCAAAGCATCCACGGACGCCAGTGGCGAGAGGTTCACGTCATCCGCAGGGCACTTCAGTGGCAACGCGCTCTCTCTAGACAACAGGGGCTCTGCAAAAGACAAAACACATGGGTTTCATTCATTACTTCTATTTTTTAAACACACCACAATCAACTTCTCTTGAACTTTTAAAGCGTGCATTTAAAATGCCACAGGTCAGTTCAGGCAACACATGGTGCCTACCCACCGTTTATTTCATTTCATTACACTGAACGAAATTCAACATAGCGCTAAGTGGGGTATGTGTGTGAGGAACAAAGTTTGCTCATGCAGTGGGATGTTTCCTACCCCACTCTTTTCCTCCCTCGCCATGCACTTCTTGCATTCACCCTAAACCTGTTCTAGGGTTCCTCCAACCCTCCAGAGAATATTTAGGGGCATGGAGAGTGTTACTGCACGAACAAAATTCGTTCCGTGCATGCAGCAACTTACTGGACTCCTGCTCATTGGTTTTATATCCTGCCCTTCCTCCTGAAGGAGCACAAGGCGGCTAACAACATAAATGCAATAATAAAACAAGAACTGAATTGAACACCAGCAGCAGCAGTTTGAACAACTGACAGCAGCAGAGTCAGTGATAATGCTCCCTATATCCCAAAGGCCTGAGTAAATTAAAAGCTTTTACTCTTGCCAGTGATGATTATTTCCCATGGAAATTCCTATGGGAAGCCTGTAAGCAAAACTTGAGCGCCATAACATTCACCCCAGTCACTGGTATTCAGTGGAGACAGAACACGACGACTGTGGCCATTGATCATCTGGTACTCAAGTTTGGCAGTGCATCTTCCACTCCTCTCTCTCTCTCTCTCTCTCTCATCTTCCACTCCCCCCCCTCTCTCTCTCTCTCTCTGTGTGTGTGTGTGTGTGTGTGTGTGTACGCAGCCACATTAACTTGCAGTCTCCCCTGTCAGAGACTTGCAAAAGAGGAACAACCTTCACTCCAAACCTTGTCAGTGCCTTTCTGATACGCCTAATATGCCTATGGACTCCTTATCTAGCCCTCCTGAGCAGAGGCAACACATGAAGCGGACACGGAGCAATGGATCCAAACTACAAGAAAGAAGATTCCACCTAAACATTAGGAAGAACTTCCTGACAGTAAGAGCTGTTCGACAGTGGAATTTGCTGCCAAGGAGTGTGGTGGAGTCTCCTTTGGAGGTCTTTAAGCAGAGGCTTGACAACCATATGTCAGGAGTGCTCTGATGGTGTTTCCTGCTTGGCAGGGGGTTGGACTCGATGGCCCTTGTGGTCTATTCCAACTCTATGATTCTATGATTCTATGAAACAAAGGCACCAGGCACAACTGCTGAGTCATGACACCGACCTCCTTGCCACATTGTCTGTCCATGTGCCTCCCCAGAAATTCAGCCTGCGGTCTTTTCTTCTACTCAGCCCACAGGCAGGGAACCCCAGCCCAGGCTGCTGCATGCAGCATCACAAGCGAGGCTGAGTATTGTGCTTTGTCCCCGCCATGGGGAAGACAGGTGGCTCAGCAAAAAAGGAAAAGGAAAAAGGAAACCTGGAGCCCAGCAACAAAGCAGATGAGATTATGGTAGCTTCTTAAGAGAGGCCACCGTGACAGAAAAGGGCATGTTTAAGACTGTGTTCTGCTCTTTCCAGGCAGAAATCTCTTCCAAAATGCCACAGGTCAGTTCAGGCAAGGAAAAGTAGGGAAAGTGTGTGGGCAAAAGCCAGGTTTAGAAGAAAAGTTAGGGTGGATACTTCCTCCTTTAAGCACAACTGCCCTAGTAGTGCCTGTCAACCATCACTAGGAGCCACAGCGAACCATCAGGCCTAAAGCACAAGGAACCTGCTGAGATTAGCCTCTCATAGGGAACGGCCAGAGCTCAATGCCCAGCTTCTCCAGGTGTGCTAGGAAGAAACCCCTGCCTGAAACCCTGGGGATATGCTTCCAGTCAGTGTAGACAGTACAGAGTTAGATTTGGTATAAGGCAGCTTCCTATATCTGGGTGATGGAAAGGAAAGCCCAGCATTAGGAGTGTGTGCAGTAATGCTTGGGTAGGGCCAGGAGGGAAAGAGGAAGAACAGAATGTTTCCCCTTTGGCCACTTGAAGCCCTACCTAACATTCCTGATCTGATTATACGGAGACTTCAGTAGGCACAAAATGCATATTTTCCACACAACTCCACCCATTAAGTTGGGGTGAGCAGGTTTTAGATTAAACAACTGGACAGAGAGGAATTCTTGGATCTCTTGCTGCTAACAGAGTTTACACTAGGCAGACCCTTCTGGGTTTTTTCATCAGAAAACCAGAGTGGCTGAAATCTATTGAGTTATGAGAAGGGAATGCTAAGATGGGGAGCACAGGAATCAATCCCCCCCCCACTGGCTCACAGCACACAGCACAGAAAGATGAAGGTCCACACAAAAATGATGCTTCCGATCCTAGCATATCGTTCTCAAGCGATTGGGTTTCAGTCTAGATCAGGGAAGGGGAACCTGTGGCCCTCCTGATGTTTCTGGACTACAAATCCCATCATCCCTAACCTTTGATCATTGGTGTGAGTTGTGAGTCCAGCAACATCTGGAGAGCTACTGGTTTCCTATCCCTGGTGGAGATCTAGGCTGCTTTTACTGGAGGTCTGGAAATACATTCCTTTTAATTAAATCTTACGTCCTATTACAGCTTTCAACACGAAGATGTATCTAATCATGGGGGGAGGGAGATAATAAATAATAATAATAATAATAATAATAATAATAATAATAATAATAATAATAATAATAATAAATAATCTATACTGCCCATCCAAGGATCACAGGGTGGTTTACAGCATAAAAACACAAAAATACATAACATAGTAACAACCGAAAACAATGACTCACCCACCCACACCAGTTTATGATCTTGTTTAATTAGCCAAAGGCCTGGGAGGGGAGGAATGGTTTTGCCTGGCACCTAAAGATATGTAACAAAGGCGCTAGGCAAGTCTCCCTGGGGAGAGCATTCCACAAGCAGAGAGCCATTGCAGAAAAGTCCCGTTCTTGAGTTGCCACCCTCTGGACCTTTTGGGGAGGAAGCACACGAAGAAGATGATGGTCGCAGGGTCTAGGTCGGTTCATATGGAGAAAATACAATATCTTCTGTGTTTGTGTACCAACGATCTGTCCCCAGTCCACAAACCAAGCCTGCCCTTGCAAGCCCCCAAACTGCTCCCACACTCCACTCTGCATCCTGTTCTATGACCTATGGTGCGATGGGGCTGGCGTATCAGCTGCTGCAGACAAAATAAAGGGACAGCCAGCACAACCATGGATTTCTTGCAAGCTTCTCAATGTACCTGGTTGGGCCCAGCTGTACACAGAAACCCAGACTAGATGGGCCATGGTCAGACCAAGCAAGGCAATTCTCGCACTCTTATAGGAGACATTATAGGCTCAGATCCTGACCTGCTTTGATACAGCCTCTAATCACAACATGCTTCAAAGGGACCTTCAGGTGCCCTGTTCCCCCATCCACATACCTTGGTCTGCACTCAGCAACGGCGAGTTCATTTCCTGGGAGGGACGCAGAAGTGCAGGAGCTGCTGCTGCTTGCGAAGACCCTGGGGAAGGTTCCTCGGAAGCCACCTTCAATGGACTCTTGGTGGGGCTGCAGACTCCAGAGCTCTCTTCTGGGCACAGAAACACATCTATTGGGCCCTGGGTGCTCTTCACAGCAATTTGGAAAGCCTGGAAAAGAAGAAGAGGTGGACATCTGAGGAGACATTTACACAACTGAATAGTTTTCTGTAGTGGAAAATCTCCCTACTAGCTTGTTCCCCTGAAGAAGAGATTATGGTCAAAACATGGTGGGAACTTAAGCTATATTCCAGTGATGTGGGGATTAACAGGTGGACATTAGGTTTAATTAGGGTTTTACAAAACCTGGATTGGATTGGGGGATCTATGCACAGTCTTACTACTCTTGGCTCTAACTAAAAGGGGCTAAATAATAGAGCAGTAACTTTTTCCAAGAAGGACTACCCCCCAAATGTGCAGCATTAGCTTCACATTGTCTACTATGTCCATGGGAATTTTCTCCTTAGCTCACCAATTGTATTTGGAAGGACGGAGACAACATTGCCTGAGCTGCCTTTTTTTGGAGGTCAACAATTTATTACAGTGGTACCTTGGGTTACAAATGCTTTGGGTTACAAACACTTCGGGTTACAAACTCCGCTAACCCGGAAGTAGTACCTTGGGTTGCGAACTTTGCCCCAGGATGAGAAGGGAAATCATGCACTGGTGGTGTGGGAGGCCCCAGTAATGAAAGAGCGCCTCAGGTTAAGAAGGTTTTGGGTTAAGAATGGACCTCTGGAGTGAATTAAGTTCACAACCCAAGGTACCACTGTATTAACAAGGCTCCGTGAGTGAATGAATGTTGATTCTTACTCACCATTATCAGCTAATCCAGTTAAAGGGAAGCTACTGGCTACCCCCTCTCCACCCTTCCATACAGCTTGTAGCTGCATGAACTATTTAATGTATTTCCAATTCTTGCCTCGAGATCTGTCTACTGGAGATGACATGATTGGGATCAGTATGATGCATGGAGAATCCTGCCTTGGATAGGCAAGCGAGAAAGGATCCTTATTGGCCTATGATTCTTGAAGACTGGATTTCTTAGCCATACCATTGGTTCAGGGTTGGCTACAGCTGGATCAGTCACCACAGACTCCTGCAAAGGGAGTGACCAGTTCAGCTGGTAGGAGCTGGTGCAGAAAGCATTCTGTGCACAATGGCCCTGTAGTGAACAGGAAGAGTTACCTCTGCCGGGTCAGAGACTTGCATCTGTGTCTCCTGGGGTGCTTTGATCACCATCACCAGTTGTTCAGAAGGGTCTGCAATGCTGCGCAGATCTTGGCATGTCACATAAGCTGAGGTGTGCCCAGTTAAGTTTTGCCAGGAGAAGGATGACAGACTACATGCTAAGCACTAAGTTACCAAGCCCAAATCACTAGCTTTTGGGAAACAAAGACTTCCACGTATAGCTTTTCCACACAGCAAGAAATCATTTGTTATTGCAATAGAACCCCCCCCCCCCCATAAAACTGCATTATTATTATTTTTAAAAAGCATCATTAACATTGGGCACCTTTTCCTCTGCCTCCCAAACATGGACATTGTACATCCATGGATCAGCATCACAGAGTCTGCCTGTGCAATTTCCCAGTGGATTCTGCACTATAATGGCTTCGCACAGGTGTCAGCCTCCATTACAATCAATTCCTTGTTAACTGTATACATTCTTGGAGAAAAATGCTAACACTTTGGGAGACAGTGAGGGGCAATTTTCTGCTCCACATTGTTCTCTGATATCACCTGGATGATTCAAAATGGACAACAAGCCCATCAGCCTAATCCTTAGGACCATGAAGATAATCATTTCAGCTACTTCCACCAGAGATCCTGAAGAAAAGCCACTTGCTTATATATAAAGCGTGGGCTGTGTTGGTGATGAGCTGTGTGCCTCCCGGTCAAACTTCAATGGATTGCAAAGGAATACGTTGAAACTGAGTTAAATGTGACAGTTGTGACACATTTGCGGCACTGCACCCGTCACAGAGGGTGGGATCCAAGTCGCATTATCAGGAACAGGCTCGGCTACAGAGCTGCCAGGCAAAAATCAGCTAGCAACATCTGACTGACTCAACGCCACCCTTCTCTCGCTCTCACACAGCTCTCCGTTCCACTGACAATGCAGTGTTTTAACCAGCAGCCAGGTAGGGATTTTCCATTAGCTCACAGGGTGGGGAAGTACAAATTAAAACAGCAACACCCAGTCCTGGAATGTCAGGGGTGCAACTACCTCTTTGGAAGAAGGCACTCTTGCTGCACCTGGTTAGTGCTTTAGGACTTGCTTGCTAGGAGCCCAACTCTGCATCTTCCGGTCTGCTAAAAGCACCCAACCTCCCCTCCACCTTCCACACAAGGATATTGCTTGTTTTCTGGGTCCTCCGTGAGGTGCTTGAACTGAGTAGTACACATCTGGATGAGGCTGTCCAGTTGCTGTTCTGCTGCCTGAAGATCCTGGAGTTCCTTCACCAACCCCTGGCTCTTGCTGGCGCTCCCCACAGCAGTCCGGCTTCCCCTAAAGGAAACAGGGCAAGTCAAGATGGAACGGTCTCATCAGCGACCTGCTGTCTCCTAACATCAGGGGGCATATTAAAAAGAGGAACAGACAGCATGTTCTATGGTCCCACATGGGACTACTGCAATGCGCTCTACGTGGGGCTACCTTTGAAGGTGATCCGGAAACTAAAACTAATCCATAAAGCGGCAGCTAGACTGGTGACTGGGGGCGGCCACTGAGACCACATAACACCGGTCTTGAAAGACCTACATTGGCTCCCAGTACGTTTCCGAGCACAATTCGAAGTGATGGTGTTGACCTTTAAAGCCCTAAACGGCCTCGGCCCAGTATACCTGAAGGAGCGTCTCCATCCCCATCATTCTGTCCGGACGCTGAGGTCCAGCACCGAGGGCCTTCTGGCAGTTCCCTCATTGCGAGAAGCAACGCTACAGGGAACCAGGCAGAGGGCCTTCTCGGTAGTGGCGCCCGCCCTGTGGAACACCCTCCCATCAGATGTCAAAGAGATAAACAACTACCTGACATTCAGAAGACATCTTAAGGCAGCCCTGTTCAGGGAAGTTTTTAATGTGTGACATCTTAGTGTATTTTTGGTCTTTGCGGAAGCCGCCCAGAGTGGCTGGGGATAGCCAGCCAGATGGGCAGGGTACAAATAATAAATTGTTGTTGTTGTTGTCAAAACTGATCCAGTGCAGGGTTAGTGAATGCCCAGGTACTTATATTAGAAGTTTTATGGTGCAGTAACATAGAAGTCACATTGAGCCAACTCTGAAAGTTGGTCAACTCTATCCGATACTACTTTTCATCTGCTATTCATTTAACATTGGTGAATGTTTATATACAACCATCTCTCCACTTTCAAATAATCCGCACATCAGGATGGGAGGTAGCACACATTTTTCTACAGCATGGCATGGATCAAGCATACATTGCAGATGAACACATTCATGCCACACTTCATGCATTACATTATATACGCAGGCTTTTTTGTAAGATCTCTTCCATGCAGGAGGGGAATAAAACATATTCAAAAGGACAGAAGAGCAGTTTTTTTAAGCTTAAGTCAGGCTTAAGAGCATCATCTTAGCCACATTTACTCATAAGATCCCATTTCGTTCCATGGGGTTTGCTGCAATCCTATGCACAGTTACTTGGGAGTTAAGCCTCATTTAATTTTGTCATAAGATCATAGGAAGCTGCCTTATATCATCAGACTATTAGTCCATCTTGCTCGGTTTTGTCTACAATGTCTGGCAGTGGCTCTCCAGGGTTTAAGACAGACACCTCTTCCAGTGCTACCTGGAGATGTCACAGATTGAACCTGGGGTTTTCTGCATGCAAAGCAGATGCTCCAATATTGAACTAGGACCTTTCTGTAGTGAGAGGCTAGGTTCTCAATACACATACCTAGGAAAGCACATTTTATTCAAATCATAATAATAAATACTGGTGCAGCTTCAAAAGCACGGATGGAGCAGAGGTGCAAGTACACTCTACAGCAGGACTCCCAGTGGTTCAGGAGATGGGATTTCACTGCCCTGCAAAGTTGTTTGCCCATCCCTATGACAAGCAGCACATTTTACGCACATTCCATAAAGTATGTACATTTCATTTTGTAGTTTACATAGATTGCTGAATTCAGTTTTTCTGGCACCATGTTCAAGTTTTCTTGATGTAGTCTTTTGTTTCTTTAAGCCTTTGACTCCATATATAGTCCTTGTGATGACATTCACTCACAGAAGAATGCTTGTAAATGAGAACTATTAACAAAAGGAGCTGTATTAAGTCCAGTACAGTTATCACTCTCATCTTCAAGTGTTACCCTATTAATTTTGCGCAATACAGAAAGCCTTATCCATGCCAAACTTCATTTCATGCAAAAGAAATGAAGACAAATGCTTTTCTCCTAAGAGACACATTCCAAAAAGACAACCAGGCAAGTCTCCTACAGCAAATGCAAGAGGTTGGTTACTTCCTAAGGCCAGGAGAAATTCGGAAAACCAATACAATCAGAATAGGGCAACCCAAAAGAACAGGTGACATTCTACTTACAACCACTGGATATGGTTCTTGGACTTCTTGGTGATCAGCTGGATACCTTCCAGGACATTTGTGATGTCATAGATCCGCCTCTTCTGCACCTTCAACACCTCTGCAGCCCAGTTGAGATCCACAACACCATCAGGCGATTGGCTCAGCAGCTCCAGGAAACGTTTGGTGGTCAGATTCAGGGAGGTTTCATAGCGGGATTTCTCTCCAGGAGACTTCACCCCTGAGGATCAATGATGACTTCATTACAACTAGCAACGTTGTTGAAGGTTTGCCACTGCATGGCTTGGAATGTGAACTTGTCCAGCTCATGATGCTTGGTTGCATCACAAATCAAGCAGCATTTCCCCAAGTTACCGCTGTTTGGCTCAGAATTTAAACCCCCAATGCCTTGAATTCTGCTATCCGAGGCACCAGATAAAATATAAAGATTGTGGCTTCTCAAAGAGGGCTCCAGCAAGACCTCCCCGTTAACCCAAGGGTTTTGCAGAGGAGGCGGCAGGGGCTCATGGTGAAAAGCAAAGATTTGCAGACCCATTAAGGTGCATTATAAAAATCAGTCTACAGTCTGAAAGATATCCATCCACCAATTACACTGCAACCAAAAGAGGAACTGGCCATGTCTTCCGGTTGATTTGCACAAGTATTTGTCTCTTGCTAGCAGGAGCAGAAAACTTTCTTAGGTAAGGCAAGCAAAGAGTTTTGCAGTCCCCTGTAGCATCCTACCCAGTTCCCCTTCACCTTCAGCGACGTCAGATGCCAGGGCCAACATAGTTTCATGTCTATCTTCACAGCTTTTTAGGTACAGTACAAGAAAAGGATCTAAGGGTCTTGGTGGACCACAAGCTTAACATGAGTCAACAGGGTGATGCAGCAGCAAAAAAAGAGTGAATGATCTTCTGGCTGCATCAACAGAAGCACAGTGTCCAGGTCAAGGGATGTAATAGCACCACTCTATTCTGCCTTGGTCAGAACACACCTGGAATACTGTGTCCAGTTTTAGGCACCACAGTCAAATCAGGATGTTGACAAGCTGTAGCGTGTGCAGAGGAGGAAGATCAAGATGATCAAAGGTCTGGAAAGCAAGCCTTATGAGGAACAGTTGAGGGAACTGGATATGTTTAGCCTGGAAATAAGGAGCTATGATAGCCATCTTCAAATTTCTCAAGGGCTGCCACATGGAAGATGGAACAAGCTTGTTTTCTCCTGCTCTGGAGGCTAGGAACCAAACCAATGGCTTCAAGTTACAAGAAAGGAGATTTTGACTAAACATCAGGAAGAATTTTCTGACAGTAAGAACTGTTCAACAGTGGAACAGACTCTCTGGGAAGGTGGTGAAATCTCCTTCCTTGGAGGTTTTGTAGCAGAGGTTGGATGGCCACCTGCCATATAAGATCTAGTTAAGATTTCGGGATTGCAGGGAGTTGGACTAGGGTCCCTTCCAGAACTGCAGTTCTGTGAGAAACTTGATCTTTTTTCACTTTTTAAAAAAAACAAACCCAAGAATGCTCAGATTTCTAGGATTCTAAATCTAGTGCCAAACATCAGCTTTAGCACTTACTATTATTAGGATTTTCAGATTTTTACAGCGACATAGTTGGTTTCCTATTTTCCCCTGACTCCATTTGTCTCTTCTGTAGTGGTTCTTTCACTTCTGTCTTTCAGCCGTTTGTCTCTTTGCACTTATTTCTGTACCATTTTAACCGAAATCTGATTGTATAGTTGTAATTGATGTCTCTATCGTTAATGTATGGCTGGGTTACCTGGGTTACCTGTACATTGCTTAGAGAAGATTGTAACTAAGGGGTATGTAAGTTGCCAAAATTAAAATAACTATTTTTTAAAGGGGGGGGGAATCACTTCATTTTTGTTTCCAATGGATATCGCCCCCAACCCCCCCCAATGATGTACAAGGCTTGTAATTGCTTATTCCCCTCCCCCAAAAGCACCACAGCCGCCTTCTAGGATCAGGCTGCTCTATTAACAGGAAGTCCTGCCCTGTTTAACTACTGGGAAAAGGAAATCTTGAAAAATCTGTGGATTGATTAAAAGCAACAGGGTTCCCTTCTGGCCACTAGCACCTTTGACAGGGTTTTTCGCTTTTCCTCGGGCTGCATGAACACTCTCTGCAATGTACTGGTGGTCAGTCTCCAAGTTCAGCTTCCGTTTTACCTGGAACAGAAGAGAGAGAGATTTGCAATAGGTTGGTGAATAGCTGTAATTTCATTTCAGCTATGCAGTGAAACAAGGAAGAGTTTGTGAAGCAGAAAGAGCCCAAGAGTACTTTGAAAAACAGGAGGAAATCTATATGGCTATGTGCTATCTCCATGTTCAAAGGCACTATGAATTAACAATCTGAATTATCAGTTGTTGGGAGAGAGCAACTGACTTCCTGTCCTCCCTGTGAGCTTCCCAGGGACATCTGGCTGACCAGTGTGGGAAAAAGGATGCTGGGCTACTTAGTCCTTTGGCCTGATCCAGCTGGGCTCTTATTATGAGAGTCTCCCACTTCCAAACAGAAGTGATACAGCAAAGGCTGTATCATATAGTTTCTCTGCAACTGTAAACAGAGCCCTAAGACATCACCAAAACTGTCTAAAACCATAGCAGAAAGTAATGTGTGAAGAAATTGTGCAATTGGAATTGCTATTTTTTTCATAGACAAGAAGCTTGCTTACCAAGAACCATCCACAAGCACTCTAGCTACTATTGCCCAGAATAAGGAAAAGCTTAGGAAGCTGTCCAAACTATTCACTGCTCATGATCAACAACTCAGCAACATAGGGCCTTCTGGTCATGGCGTATTTTTAGTTTTTCTTCTGTGCAGCTTCTTTTCAAACTGTGGAGTAAGGAGAGCTTATATTTTGCACGTCTCAGGTATATTTCAATGAACCTAAGCATCAGTGATATTTCAGTCATCAACACCAACAACTGATAAACCTTTAAGCTCTCGTAACTCCATACCTCTTGCTTGAAACAGAAGAGTAAGAGATGGCAAGATCTTGGGCCACAGAGACCTGAAGTACTGACCTAATAGAAGTTGATCACATAATCCACTAGAGTTCCACAAACAACAAATCTCCAGGAGGTTGCCTAGCAATGAGCAAAAGATGCAGGACTTTTTATACAAACAAAAATCCAATAAGGACAGCACAATTGCAATATGTTGGTTTGAGAATCCCACTTTAGTTACTATTTACAGAGCAACCAACTTGGTTGGGATGTTTCAGTGAGGGAGAGAGAAGTTGCTCCAACCTGATGTGTTGAAGAAGAAGAAGACCAGAAGTCATACTAGCAGAGCAGAGCTAGGAACCTTTTGATACTCCAGATATTGCTGAACTACAGCTCCTGTCATCCCTGATTATTGTACATACTGGATGAAACTACTGGGAGTTACAGTCCAACAACATCTGGAGGGCCAAAAACTCCTCAGTCCCATAATAGAGGTAGCAGACATTTCCACAGACAACCCTAAAACTGGGAGAAGCAACAAGTCATATTCTCTTTAATCGGTGATTCAGACACAAAGCTTCAACAAATTAAGTTGTCATTAAGTTAAGATAACATCCTACAACATTATCCTGTTTTTCCAACTCAACCTTATTAAATGATTGCTAACATAGTTGGAAATTAGTAAGGAGGTAGATGGAAATTAGTTAGGAGGTAGCGGAGAAACTACAAAGGATGACCACTACAAAGAAAAGCTTTGCAGCAAGTATAGGTAGATAAAAGATTAAGAAGAGTAACTATCAAGAAGATGATACATTAGATTGAAATGGGTTGCCAGTCTGCAACCATAAGGACAGAATGATTTCTCCATTCCTTTCAGCCCATCTTTTAGTTTATTCTGTGGGTACAATTTCCGCACAGCTCATAGGTCCCCACACAACAAGACTGCATCCTCAGGTCTATCCATTCCCAGAGATTACAACAGCTGGAGAGCAAAGCAAATGCAAGCCTGGACATTCCGCTTTCTGGAAGCCTATTTGCTTCTTCTGAAAGGAAGCATTAGGAAATCCGCAATGCCTGTGGACAGTTAACAAGACAGGCTTGATAGACGAAGTTTTAAATATAAAATACCATCTGCATTTTTTTGCCAATGACTGAAATACACTAGGCATAGCCGCAAACATAACCCTACCATCTAGCTTTTTCTTTTGTTTTCCAGTGCTGGTGTTTGCTGAGAACCACCCTATGGGAAGAGAGATAATTCTTTTCCAAACTGAACTCCGGCTGAAGGCTTCAATTTATTAATTGTTCCATTTTACTATCCAGGAATGGTCTCTATGCTTTCTTCCCTTTAACATGGGAGGCTAGTAACGGGATTGAGGCTCACCCCAGCACTATTCTGTCTCTGATGAAGGCCTGAAACACTTGTGAGCAGCTTGCTTCTTGGCTACAGGGAGCAGCAACGCTGAGAGATCTCACCTGGCAATTCCAGGATCTGAAGCAATCATCAGGTCAAATTCCACTGCTTCCACTTGTCCAACTACTGATAAAAGAAAGAGACTGCTTCTTTCCCAGCAGCTAAGACCAAATGACGAGACGAAGGTGGGGGCGAAGGTGTTACTTACTAAAGGAAGTATATTCTCATGCATCCTGCAAGTAAATACTTTCTATAGAGTGCTTTACAGTTAACTGCAGAAGTACTCGCAGCATGCTAAAAATGCTTTAAGGAGTAAATGTTGGCCATACCTGAATGAATCCCTCAGGTACAGGCACTTTAAATGGAAGCATGAATCCGGCATGAATTAGAAATTCTTTTGTCTCGTTGCAAAACCAGAATTTCTAGGGGCCCTGGGTGGGAAGCTATAGCAATTAAACCAGTTTAGGTCTGCAGAGTAGACATGCCCTGTGGATGCCTTCACATGTGATGCCAAGAATGCCTTTTAAATGGGGTGAGAGTTGGAACTTGCGCTTTCAGCAACGGAGCTTAATTTTTAATTCTGTCCCAAAGAATACTATGTTTAATGTGCATGACCTGGTTGGTCTTGGGAATGTGCTTTCCTGTTCCTGTCAACCTGAGGCACATTTATGTCATAATGAAATCTTGCACCCAGGCATTCCCCTTTCTAGATTGCCGTGTCCATAGTATTTTTATGTTAACAGGAAACATATTACTAAACTTCTTGTTGTTGTTGTTGTTATTATTACTACTAACACATACAGCCCAGGTTGGTGCATCACCAGTGCACAGGGCAGAGATGGGAGAACAGCTGGAGAGAAAGGGCGATAGAGGAGCGTCTTCTCCAACCACTTGGAGAAGATGCCTGAAACATCAAGCCTAGTGAGTGGCTGAGACTTTGGTGCTGCACAACCCAGAGGATTTAGTGCACTGCGTCACTGTTGCCAGGTGAGTGTGCTTCAGGATGCATTACAAAGCCACAACCGCTGGCAGTTTGATGAGAGAGCAGTGTAGGCTGTCTCCTCTTTTTTTGCTACTGCATTAACATTAACGGTCAGGTCTTGGTGCACCGTGGCCTTTTTTGTAACGTATCCTTTGCTATTACCGTATGAAATGGAAACGGTTAGTTCTTCTCTTGGCTTATGCTGACTCTGTGGTGGATTTGCCATCCTTTATGTCACATCCACATGGTTGTGTATATCAGTTGCTGGAGGGTGGGCATAAGTGTGCATTTTGTGGTAAAATGTGGGTTTATTATCCCCTGGTTGCCTACCAATATATTACTTTAAAGATTTTGTATTGATCATTAACTGCATTGCTAGAAAATGTTTTATAGTGCTGGCTTTTTTGCCAAGGCATTTGTTCCAGGATTTGCACTTTTAGTTACTAATGTTCTTTTTATGTTCCAGTTTATTTTAAATTTGATATTGTGTGCTTTGCCGGGAAGAGTATATTACTTTGACACTTTTTTGTAGCAAGAGACTATTAATAAGAAATAAATAATTTTGTATGTTGTTGGGCTTTTTTTTAAGAGACACAAATTTAGGGTTCAAATCAAACAATGACATCAGCAATGACATATAGTAGGGAACCCTGAAAAATAACCTCAAGGTGACACAAATCAATTACAAGGCCATGGTTTGTAGCCAATTCTAGTCTGACTTAGAGTAGACCAACTGACATTAAAGGACACAGCTAATTTAGCTTCATTAACCTCAACAGGTCTACTCTGAGTAGGTCTAGGGTTGTATACAACCCATTTGTTTCTGCCCACTGTAAAGAGAGGCGCTAAAGTCAAAGTGTCCATAAGATTCCAGCCTAGCAAAGCTGAAAAGCCTCTGGCGCCTATTATATCTGAGTTTCTGCAAACTTAGAAGGTGTGGCATCTAAAAACCCTGAACAAATCTGAGGGCCTAGAAAGCCTAATGTTGGTTCTCCAAAACTGAAAAGTGGAACACCTTGGGATTTGAAATATTTTTCAAGATTTGACTTGGAACAGCCTTTAAAAAACAGCCTTTCCTTCCTCGCTTCCATTCCAAAATGACAGATCCCTGCAAATTGAGCAAATGCAGGTTCTGGGGGTGCTGGCATCCTCCTTGCACCCACAAAGGTCATGCCCTCAAACCTACTACATGGCTTGAATACAGCAGCACCAACAGGGCGGGGAAACCAGACATCTTCAGTCCTGCCCTGAACAACAGGCACCCCAATGAGACAACACAAAGTGAAGGCTCATTACAGATTCCTGACCCAAACATTTAAAACAAAGAACCGACTGTAAAGCGGCCGCCCACTGCAGGCCCCTCTCAACAGAAAAGGGCCTCTGTGGGAGGAGGATGCAGGCAGCTTTTGTGAGCATCACCTCCCTTGCTCTGCCTGCTGGGAAAGAGCAACGGGAATTGCAACCATCAATTCCCTTGCACTGGCCAACTCCAGCAGCAGCTTCAGTTCTCCAGGAGCAGACAGTTGTAGGAGGAGGATCCCACACAATATAGCCAAGGGCAACCATGGCTCCATGTTTTGTTGCCAGCTGCCTCATTACAGAGGACAGTAAGTCCCTTAAGCATCTGGCTCCATTCACTTAAATCTCTGACAAGCCAACCCAACTGAGAAGGCAGGGAAAGAGACCAGGTTTACAACCTCATGTCTTTCAACTGGGATTGGAGGGGCAGGTAGTCCCTGCTCCCCTGTGTGTTTATTTGTATAAGCACCAGTATATGGTAGGAATTCAACATAGTGCTATGGCAATCGTTGCCTCAGCACAAGCATTTCAGCTGGCCAGAAAGAACCAACACCCCTGTTCTCCTCCCTGTATGTTGTTCTGGGGGTTCTTTTGACCCCAACTACCACGGGGGACAAGGGACACGCGTGGCGCTGTGGGTTAAACCACAGAGCCTAGGACTTGCCAATCAGAAGGTCAGTGGTTCGAATCCCTGCGACAGGGTGAGCTCCCATTGCTTGGTCCCTGCTCCTGCCAACCTAGCAGTTCGAAAGCACGTCAAAGTACAAGTAGATAAATAGGTACTGCTCCGGCGGGAAGGTAAACGGCGTTTCCGTGTGCTGCTCTGGCTTGCCAGAAATGGCTTAGTCATGCTGGCCACATGACCCGGAAGCTGTACGCCGACTCCCTCGGCCAATAAAGCGAGATGAGCGCCGCAACCCCAGAGTCAGCCACAACTGGACCTAATGGTCAGGGGTCCCTTTACCTTTACCACGGGGGACATGGGGGGAAAGCACTATTGCCCTAGTCAAACTCCTTGTGCAGGCTTCTCCTACTTTCTACACTGTCGCCTTCCCGTTGCCCTTACAGATCTGGTTCCTTGACCAGCATTTTCCTGCAACATGGAGATGCGTTGATGGAGAAACTCTGCTTGTTGAATTGCTGCTATGTTGGTTCACAAGAAGCTCCAAGGAGAGAGAGAAAATAAGTAACAAACATGCACTGAAAGCATTTGGGCGGACAGATATACATTAGTAAACTACTTTTATTATTATGCAGGGTTACGTTAAGCACTTTATGCTCTAAATGTATACTAACACATGGAGAAGTGGGACAGTGACTGCCGGTTTTGCTCACAACATTTGGTACCCCACCCCCAAACGTCCATGGGTTCAAAGCAATGTCTGCAAACAGGAGCCTATGTATACACAGTTGCACCTCCATGCAATTGATAACAAACGCAAAGGTGTAGGCTACCCTTTTCATACGTCACCCTGAACATGTGGATTTTGGGACAGGGCCAGCAGGCTCTGCCCATCCTCTCTTCAATGTGGAAGTATATGTGCAGAGGAGAAGGCCTGAAGAAGGTTCCTCTCTTTGCCAGTTGCTGCTCCTACACTTAGAATGTAAGTGAACCAATCTGGAAGAGTGAATCCTGTGGGAAACTGCAATCAAATGTAACTAGCAAGCTTGGGGTAGTTAATACATGAAGGGGTTAAGACCACAGAATTGTATGCCTAGACTCAGTTAGGCCTGAGTCTGGTGAAGTGAAGTGTCTTTGTTCATTCTCTTCCACCATCTGAAGCAGACCAGGCAGCGCATCTGAGCTTGCTCGCTTCAAGCCCAGGCTGTATGCTCAGAAGTATTTTTAAACCCAATAATTTTCTACCGCTGTTCTTTGTGCTGCTACATGGAACAATCTAATCTTTGGAGTTTGTAGGTAAAGCATTTAAACTTACTAATGGTGTGGTCTGTTCATTGAGAGAGGGAGGGAAATGGAAGATTGCTGTAAGCAGACTAAACATGATCTTAAAAGGGTCTAGCAGCCTAAATTCCCATGCTTCACTTTGCTGAATGTTTTGCTCCTTTTTAAAACTTCTGTTGACACTCTCTCTACTAGAGAATGTGCTTGCCCCATGTTTTGGATCTAAGGATCCATCAAATTCTTTTAAACCAAATATGTTTATATAAATTTCTGACAAATTCAGCATTCTTGCAAGGGTTTGGTTTTTTTTTTTTTGGCCTTCAGTTTTCCAACAGGACCTCTAGCTTCTTATCAACATCTTAGTACATGCTACAACTAGTGATTATGCTATATATTAGAAACATAGATACAAAACTGTACTTGTCACTTCCAACTAGTTAGACATGCTTCATCACTAATCCTCTAAGTCCTATAGTCAATAGTCATACTGCAGCACATAGAAGCTCCTTACTATAGAGTATATGTACTGATTCACACAACAGCATCTCCAGTACCATTTGAAGATCTGCCTATTTCTCTGTACACACTATGTCCCAATATTCCTAAACTGTGTCATTTTATTGCAGCGTTCATGCCTCTTTTTCCAGTATACACAATAGTAAGAAAACCATAGCAGTCAGTCAGTGCTAAAACTGTTAGCCACAAACTAATTTAAGATTGGTTCATGTATATATGTAAATGCATATGCTCCCTAACATAAATAAAGGGACATATAGAAATGCTTGAGATATTCTGTGAATTCCTGTGCAAACTAATTTGATCCAAACCTCTTGGATTAATGTGTGGATCAGAGCATAATTATCCTTCAGATTGCACACTTTTGCAATACTTATTGGCTCAAACAATGTACAAAAATGCATTAAAACTGTATTTTATTATAAAATAGGTTTGCAAATGCCTACATTGAAATAGAAACATTATTTAAGTAGCTTGTTTTGTGATAAAATATGCATTTAAAAACTCGTGCTGATTTTTTAAGAGAAAGAAATGCAATGATGAATGCAGAGACAGACTTACATGTTAATTCATGCCCAATTGACATGGACTGGAAATAGACTGGTCTGCCCATCCTTAGGGGCACAACATACGTCGCCTTCTCTCACACACATTTAAAGACACTAGCCTGATAGAACAGAAACCAAAGTTGCACAGTTCCTGCCACTTCCTTCCTTTGCAACGCGGTGGCAAATCTATTACCAATAGCTTTCCCTTTGGTAGGTCTTCCTTTTGTTTAACATCAGGCTGGGCACTGCATACCTCAGAGTATGTAGCTCTAAGTGACTGCACAACAAAGCCGAAGCCAAACATTTGTCTTTGTTAAGAACAAGTTGCACAGAACTCTGGGCCTTGACATCCTGTAACAGGAAGTTAAGCTGCTTCACTAACAACATTTGCAGGCTGCTTGCACTGAAAGAAGAGACTCGACACAATCCAGCAAGTTCTGCAGCCACGCTCAGAAAAAACAACAACCGGGTGTCTATCTATCTAGGTCAGACAGGACAACCTTGCAGCGTTCGACAATGTAACATTTTGAAGCCTAGACCTTCTAGTTAATGATTTCTCTGCATGCCTTCATGAGCACTCTGCCCTTCCTACGAGATTGCTACATATGCCACGTTTAAGAGGCACTATTTCAGTCACAGTCTTGAAACTCTCCCCACATCTCTCCTGTAATTACAGGCACAGGGAAAGCCTTTACAAAGCCACATGGGATTAAAAGAAAACTGTATCAACTCACAGATATAACTGTGTCCTTCTACTGATATAAGCAATCTAGAAAAGGATCAGAAAGGCCTCTAACACAACGGCTCTCATATTATTTAGCAGTGCTGGAATTTGCTAGGTAGCTGATCCTGGACAGAAGCAACAAGTTGAAAGTATATATATATATATATATATATATTCCAAATATATATATTTGGTGGCCGGGAGGCAATCTGAGAAGTTAACCACTTATTCCCCAACATATGGGCAAAACCAACTACAAGGTCTTATGGAGATTGCAACTTGTTCCATTACCCTGAGTGTAAAGTCTAAAGATTGTCACATTGCTGTTGGTCACCAGAGTTTTTACATTTTTGCACCATGCCCCCGGTGGAGGATGGAGCACGATTCAGTGGTAAACAAAAGGCATCTATATTATATGCCCATCTCCGTAGCGTCCTAGAACATCGGGTGCAATATATATATATATAAACGTTATACACAAGTTACACTTCAAAACATTTCGTTGCTGGCAAAGCTTGCTGCTCTCCTAGGAGCCAGCAGCAGCAGCAGCAGCAGCAGCAGCGGGGAAGCGGGTGGCATTACCGGCGGGCGCTCCAGAGCAGGCCTCTGCGTCGCCGTTTCCAATCTGGCGGGCTGCGGAGTGGCGAACAGCAGCAGCTCGGCGTCGCTCTCTCCTCCGGGCGCGGAGAGCTGGTCTGGGGTGGAAATGATCACGATCTGCTGCTCCATCACATGGATGGCTTCCGCGCCCCTCAAGAGGGCTTCCAGGTCCGCCACATTCTGGGTCACCCCCAGGCCCTCCAGAGACATGGTACAAAACGCTGGCACTCACATGCCTCGCAGGAGACTGGGTGGGGTGGGTAGGGGTGAGGGAAAGGCCTGATCCTGCCCGCTCCTCTGCCTCCCTTCCCCCACGCACCGCAGGAAATCCGGAGGATCCCTCTTCCCCCACCCCCACCCCACCCCGCCGTCTTGATTCCCCCTTCCCGGGAATCAGAGCCGTGTCAGCGGGCCGGGGCCACCGTCCTGGCCGCGGGGGTGCAGGGAGACGCCGGATGGCAGGGGCCGGGAGCCAGGAACACGCCCCATCCTCCTTTAAGGGCAGAGGCCCGGGAAATGGTGTCCCGCGGAGGTGCAGCCGGCCAGGGCCGCGAGCGGAGAGGAGGCGGCGGCGGCCAGGCCGAGAGCGGAGGGCGCCCAGGCTGCTTCCCGGGTCATCTGCGAGGCCCCCACGAAGGCGCGGGTCTCCGCGGGGAAGGGCAGGGCGCTACGGCGCACAGCAGGGCTCCCTTCCGCCTACGCTCGGCCGGTCAGCGCTGACTTCCCAGCCGCCCTGCCCTGCCCCGCTCGGCTGTGTGGTGGCCCCGCGCGGAGCCGGGCTCCTCTCGCCCTTCTCTCCCGCGCTCGGCCGGACCCGTCCGCTCCGCTCGCGCTCCGCTCCAGGCACTGTTATTGTTCCCAGCTGGTCCCGGCCCCGCACACGTTTGCGCGCCAAATCCTTTTTGCCGCGAAAGCAGCACGAGCAGGGCGCCGTCGCTCCCATTGGTCGGCTCGCCCGCATCAACATTCGGCTCCGGGTGGGCGAGGGGGCGGGGGGAAGAGCAGACGCCGCCTCCCCATTGGACGCTGCGCCGTGATTGATACGCCACGCCGCCGCCTCGTTGGCTGCGAGAGGGAGGACGCCGGAGCGCCGTCGTGACGGCCCGAACGTTCTGACAGCCGCCCAATGGCGAGGGCCCGGGTTGCGGAAGGGGGAACGGGGCTCAGCCAATCAGAGCGGGGGAAGGGACGGGAGACGCTGCGGCGGGGCACGTGGGAGAGGAGGCGGTGTTGCCCAGAGAGTTGTGAGGGGAACCTCAGTGACCGCGCAAGGCGCGTCGGTGGCGCTTGCTGCGGCGGCGGCGTAAGTGCTTGTTTTCTGAAGGCGCATCCTTCGCTAGTTTCTCCCGCTTTCCTGCACCCCAGCTGCCCTGCGTTGTACCAACTTTCTTCTCATTTCGCAGCGTAGCTTCTCCGACTTTTCTCTGAACGCTCAGGTCGGTTCCAGGCACATTTACTCGGAAGTAACGCATGCACACACACGCACGCACACACGGTAAATGGGATTTTACTCTCACCTAACCTAAGGATGCATGGCGTGGCAGCGCTGCCTTTCCTGCGTGCAGCGAGTTTCCCAAGCTGTGGTCTGTGCACCTTTAATTTCTCAGTTGGCGGGAGCTGGGGCAGAGCTTCAAGGATGCATGCAGAGTCAGACCTTCTGGCCTACCAGCCTTTTATCTCGGAATCCCAGGCTTGTGGGGGCTGGTTGTGATTGCTGAGCCTTGGCAAAGATGAAAAGGAACTTTGCTCGTGCTAGGACTAATTCACACGAACTGAGTTAGTCCTGCTGCTTAAAGCAGCTTCAAGCTCTACTGAAAGGATCTTAGTACTCATCCCCCACTGAGACCAACCACATATTCTAACCCCCATTCTCTCCTCTTCCACTTTTGTCTCTTGTGTTCCAAATATTAGTTTGCAAACTCCTTGGGGAAGGGATCTATCATATTCCAGAAGGGTAGCCATATCCAACAAATCTGAAGCTTTGGTGCTCGGTAGTGTATGCTGTGATGTGTTAGTTGGTAAGGTACCACAGGGTAATTTCTTTTCTGTCTTTGTAGCCATATCCAACAAATCTGAAGCTTTGGTGCTCGGTAGTGTATGCTGTGATGTGTTAGTTGGTAAGGTACCACAGGGTAATTTCTTTTCTGTCTTTGTAAAGAAGTCTGCATTGATGATATTGAAGAATAGTTACATTAATAATAAGATTGACAGTGATGTTTGTTGGCCTTCAGGAAATATGCCTCTTTCCCTTACCCCGCCATTTCTTGTCAACTTTCACAATCCGTTTTCCCTATCAGTTTCTTGTGCCCTCAAGAACCGCTTCTGTTATGAATGGCATACTTGCATCGGAACCAACATCTGGATGCATTTAGGCAGCAGTGAAGAACCTGTTGTCCTCCAGATCTTGCTGGACTTTAAATCCCACCATCTCTGATTATTGCCCATGTTGACTGAGGTTGATGGAGTAGGTTGGTGTCCAACAACAACTGGAGGTCCACACGTTCCCTTCCTTTGCAATAGAGCATTGGACCTAGACAGTTGTCCTTTTCCCAACAAAACATGATGACTTGGGTGATTCTGTTATCTTCAATCCACACAACCCAATGATTTCACGAACACTGGAACAGTGGCTTAGAGGATAGATTAAGGTTTGCACCAGAGCTTGGTTTTCTGGACCCTCCAAAAGTTAGTATACCCTGCAGGTGTTGCCTTCTACTACAGTAAATGTGAAAATACTGTTAAAAGCACTCTGAGAGGAGTACTTGGGGTATTTGCTCCATGTTTGTAGAACTTCCACTGGAGACTTCCCATAGTCTTTGAAATAATAATAATAATAATAATAATAATAATAATAATAATAATAATAATAAATTTATACCCCGCCTTTTTCCCTGATGGAACTCAAGTCAACTTACAGATAAAAGTTCAGGTGCTGTAAAGTTTTCTTCATTTATTAAGCAGCGTAAGATGTATGTTTGCCCCTACATCTACATGCAGAAAGAAACTGAAGTCAACCTTGTAGCCCTGGCAAGTGAATCTGCATAATAAGTGTGTTCACCACATGCATACATTCAGTTTTTATTTATGACATGATCCTGCTAAAGTGAAGCACATTAAAACACTGTTGATTTAAATGGGAAACCTGAAAACATTCAGGGATGAGTGATCCTATATTTATATTTTGTCAAATCCAGATATATGCTGCCACTCTGCCAGTGGAATGGCCACTGAAACCATTATTTGCTTAGCGTGAGGTAGAGAGAAAACAACATGGAACATACAAAACTAGGAGGGAAACAATAGACACTGTGTAGAAAAATCAAGTAAAGCATGTTTGAGTGCACCAGATTCAAGTTTTTAAAATACATGTTTAGATACACATTCATAAAACCATAATTCTGGACGGATGGGAATGAGTAATTAAACAACTACAAATTCATGAGTAGCGCAAGCAATGGTGTAAGTGTTGGCCACCTAGGTAGGACTGTAAGATAAGGTGGCTTATGCAACACAAGTACTGTAGTTGTTAAATATAAGACTGTAATATTTTCTTTGTCATTGCATTGTACAGTATTACTATTGCAACAGTGAAAATAATTGGCCTCATTGATGTATTGTATTAATACCTCTGTTTCAGTTTCTATTATTGTCCCCTTTGAATGTTATTTCTGTGATCACCACTGTACTGCATGTACTATGCTTTTATTTCCATGAAATAGTCACCACGGCTAGAACCCTTGTGCACGCTCACTTTGGGTTAAACCTTGTTGAAAAGGGTGGCCCTGAGTAAACGTGCTAGGCTCCTGCTGCACATGACAAAAAGAAAAAGAAGCAAGCCAGCATTTAAAAGACAGAACAGTAGAAGATAACAGTGGAACACCCACAAAATATGGTCTAGATCAGTGTTTCCCAACCTTGGGCCTCCAGCTGTTTTTGGACTACAACTCCCATCATCCCTAGCTAGCAAGACCAGTGGTCAGGGATTATGGGAATTGTAGTTCAAAAACAGCTGGAGGCCCAAGGTTGGGAAACACTGGTCTAGATTGTGGAGTCCCTTCCATGTGCATTGTGATGATATGCCACACAAGATTCTCGCAAAAATTGAAATATAGATTCTGGTATAATAAATGGTAGAGTGTAGGTTTGATTGTGAACCGGTTCTGCTTTCGTGCATAAGGCCTGATTGCCCTGTAGTGCTGGGGCCCATCCTGCCATTAGGCAGAGTGAGGCAGCTGTTACGGGTAACAGAGAGGAGGGTGGTGGAAGCAAACTGTTCCAAGAAAAGAGCCAGGTGTGCCATGCTGCCTGCCCTATACCTGCCTGTTACCTTCACATGCAGAGGAGGGCACTGTTCCATTGCCAGTGCTGAACTAAAGTTCAACTGCCACTTTGATTGGTTTCCATAGGTGCCATCTTGCTTTTTATTCAGGCAGCAAAAGTTACATAGTGTTGCATACTTTGTTTTGTTTTTTCTTGCAAGTGATAAACTAGTGTACTAGATAAAATAAAATGTAAATGTGTTAGACATGCTGGCATCCTGCATTGATGAAGGGAATCAGTCTGGATCACTTTTGTGTTATGTAAGCCCTAAATGTCATAGGACAGTTTTCCTTCCCACCAAACCAAGGCTTTCGACATCAAATACAACTTGCCATACAACTCAGCCCTGAAATGGTTTGGCTTATTCTGAAATGTGGTACATGGTAGCTTTTTAGAGGTAGGGCTCTTGTGCTTTTTACAGCTTTATGGTGAACACAAGTGCCAACCAAAGAGCCTTTCCCAGGATGGAGACAGGAAAGGAAAAGTTTCACCTGATGGATTTGTTATAGGCACAAAAGCCCTGCTTGGAGGGGCTCAGGAGGCAGCTTTATTAACTATCCCCTTTGTTAGCACTTTGTTAGGAATTTCCTTATGAAACTGCAGGGGAGATTTTAAAGGCCATCATTTCTTCTTCCAAAAAAAGATATGATAGCCACCTTCAAATATCTAAAGGGCTGTCACATGGAAGATGGAGCAAGCTTGTTTTCTCCTCTCTGGAGGGTAGGAACCAAACCAAGGGCTTCAAGTTCCAAGAAAGGAGAATCCAACTAAACAAGGAAGATTTTTCTGATGGTAAGAGCTGTTTGATGGTGGACTGGACTCCCTTGGAAAGTGGAAGCAGAGGGAAGAAGAAGAAGAAGAAGAAGAAGAAGAAGAAGAAGAAGAAGAAGAAGAAGAAGAAGTAGTTAGGTTAGATGGCTGCCTGTCAAGGATGCTCTAATAGAGATTCCTGCATTGGAAGGGACTGCACTAGATGACCCTCAGAGACCCTTCAGACTCTACAACTCTATGACCCAGGCTAAACATAAGTTAGCAGTGTATTGTGACTGCAAAAAAAGCCAGTGCGATTTAAGACTTCATTAATATGAAAGTGAAATTTCATTAATATGAAAATATGGATGCGGGTGGCGCTGTGGACGCGGGTGGCGCTGTGGGTAAAAGCCTCAGCGCCTAGGGCTTGCCGATCGAAAGGTCGGCGGTTCAAATCCCCGCGGCGGGGTGCGCTCCCGTTGCTCGGTCCCAGCGCCTGCCAACCTAGCAGTTCGAAAGCACCCCCGGGTGCAAGTAGATAAATAGGGACCGCTTACTGGTGGGAAGGTAAACGGCGTTTCCGTGTGCAGCTCTGGCTCGCCAGAGCAGCGATGTTACGCTGGCCACGTGACCCGGAAGTGTCTCCAGACAGCGCTGGCCCCCGGCCTCTTGAGTGAGATGGGCGCACAACCCCAGAGTCTTGTCAAGACTGGCCCGTATGGGCAGGGGTACCTTTACCTTTAATATGAAAGTAGCTGCCAAATGAGTCAGTCAGTCTTTAATGTTTTAACCATAGGATATAACAGAAGAGTAGTCACTAGAATTGTTCAAACACACAAGCCTGCAAACACAAAGCCAATCAGATTAAACAAGAGGCTTCATGAGATTCAACCAAATATATGAGTGTCTCTCTGTATATGTGTGCTTGTGTGGTGCGTTTATATATTATGCGGGGCAATTTTGTTTGCATTAAGAATGGATGAGGATCTATGTATGTTAGTCAGATCACGATAAGAGAGCCTAATAGGTGGAATGGTTGCATTCATAAAACAGGTTTTGCACACACTAATTAGGTTTAAAATGAAACCTGTATTTCGGCTTCTCTAGTACAGCCTCATGGTTGCCACATAAAGGTTGGAACTGTGGTTGGAAGCCTAGACTGCTTGGGGTCACTCTGCCAGCCAGAAGAAGCTAAGTTAGAATCATTCCTTTACTACTGCAGACTGAGAATAGCAAGAGAATAAGTACTCTCACTCCTTAGCCAAAGGAGGAACCCTAGGCAAGAGTTCAACATCAATATTTCATACATTTGAAAAGATAGTTAGAGAATGTGCTAAGTATTGAGTAACTCTTTGCTTGCAGATGCACTTCACGGGACACTTTTGATTTATGATAAATATAATGCTTTAAAGCTAAGGATGAGTTAATATGTCAGTTTCAGTTTCTCATTCTTCCAATCTTCAGTTGGAATCTCTACCTGTTTTTGTTTTAAAAAAACCCAATATCCTCATGAAAATTAATTAGCATTTTAGTACAAATTTCTCCCAATATACACATTTTAGTACGTGATTTTGTCTAATACACATTTTTACAAAGCATTTTTTCTGAATACAATGCATTTTTATATATAATTTTTATGAATATATGCATTTCCATGCACTTTACCCTTGTATGTGCATTTTTGTATAATTACTTGGCTGGAGAACTGCACTGCAAAATTGGGAGAAGTGCAAATTTCTAAGGATGGTTGTGTCTCGGCTTGTGTTTTGTTTTGGAAAGTTTTAATTAGGTAGATTTCCCTTTAAGTGTGAACTGAATTGAATGTCTTCCCCATCCCCACTTAAAGCTTTGTGATCAGTAAGGAGGACAGTATTTGAAAAGTAATGCTGGTGGTAGAGTGGGTTCATCATGGCGCAGTCATGAGTGCTAACCCTGGTTATTCCACCCTCTTTTTGAAGTCTTGGGGATACCACTTAGGATTCCCACCTTTACCATGGCAGATGTTTTTGCATTGTCATATGGGTAAAGCAGCTTATCTCAAAATGATGTTGAAAACTACTTCCCGGTGTCTGTGTTGACAACCCTCTTTCAATTCGCAGAGTGAGCTTTGGGCAATTTCATGAAGTCAGAAAGTGCTGGTATCTCCATGAAGATGAAGCACCATCTCTTTCCCCTGTAGTGACTGCGTGGGGTCTATTGAGTAAACAATCCATTTTTAACAAGAAGCAACTGCTTTCAGATAAAGCTGCTTGTCCGTATTAGTAAAGGAAACATTTACATCCTCCAGCCATGTTCTTTTCACTCCTCTGTTGCATCATCTGCTCCCTCTTTGCCTTTGCTGTGCCAGACCCTCATCCACACTTAGCGGCAGCAGCATAGGAGATGCATCATTGTAGTGCGATCCCGCATGGCTTTCAGGTCTGTACAAATGAGACAGCGCATGGATGGGGCTATGTAATCCCCCCACCCCCAAAATTTACAGGGTTCTGTTACTCTCACATAGCCTACAGCACTATGGAGTAACATCACAAAGACTGTGTACACCCCATACACTTAAAGCATGACTTCCTCCATTGAATCCTGGGAACTGTAGTTTGTAAATGTGCTGGGAATTGGCTCTGTAAGAGGTAAACTACAGCTCCCAGAATTCTTTGAGGGGAAGCCATGTGCTTTATATGCACGATATGTATGCAGCCAAACTCCTGTGCCACTGTGTCCTGATGTAAAAGGCTCAGTCTTACTAATTCCTGGCAGAGATCCTTTTGTTTCTGTATTCTATCCCCGTACTGTTGGTGCTAAAATATATATACTATGTTAAAATTGCAGAGAGAGAAAAGCTTGGTGGGTTTCATGGTTCTGGGGAACTATAGTTTGAGATAGGTATTTACCTTCCTTTAGTGGAAGGTTGCTATACTTCACAAATGCCAAATCGAATCCTAACGTTACCGTAACATTGCAAACTGAGCAACAGTTAGACCAGATGGAAGCAGTCTGTGGTTTGATTCACGCGCCACCCCACCCCCAATCTGTGAGAAAGTAGGGCAGAGTTTTGTGGTAGTTCTGCTCCCCCCTTCCCCCATGGAGACTCTGCAGCTCTCTTAGTGTGCAGTTTTTTGGACACAGCTGCTGCACCAGCTGTTCCTCCTACTGTCACAAAAGATTTTTTATTTTTTATTAGCAAGGCGATGATCCCCATTGGCAGGGAGCTCAGAAATGCCAAATGGAATTAAAAAGTTTAATTTCAAATCCGTGGAGTAAGTTTATTCAGGGTGAACAGATCCGCTTAACCCCCCCACCTCCATCCCAAAGGGTAGCCAGACCGTCCACCAGCCTGTCCACTTCAGGGGAATGGAGGTTGTTCTTCTTTAACATCGCACAGTTCTGTTGCCTCAAAGGTGGTTAAAAATAGTGTTTAAGATAAGGTTACCAGACGTCCCTGGATTTACAAATCAGTCCCCTGACAAAATCCATCTATTTAGTAGGAAGTTGAAAAGTGTCCCTGGATTCACTGAAAAAAATCTGGTAACCTTAGTTTAAGAGTGCAGTGCAAATTATGCAGACACTGGAAAGGATATCCGCACACCCAAAAGAGGGAATATTCAGGACTGGATTTGCAACTTTCAATATTAATCTGTATTTCAATCTAACATAACAAGATGATGTACCTTCTGTTAAAGGTTGGGGGGGAACAACAACGACAGAGGTGACATTTACATGAACAAAGCCAATCCTTCCTAGGTACTTCGGGGGAGGGGGGTTCTTCAGAACTAACTGCCTTTACTTTTGTGCTGTTCAAGAATGTACTTCTAAAAAAGAAAAGAAGAAGACAAGACTCAGCTTCAGTACAGCAACCCACCAGAGATACTCCCCCGGTTCACATATACACTTCTTTCCCCAAGACATCTCATTCGAGAAGTAGCTTGCACAAAGCCAGGGTTCCCAATGCTTATTGGCACTTCTTGTACTAAACCAAACCAGTCGTCATGACTCCGAATAGCCTACACAAGGCATGGAGGGCTCCTATCTGCAGCTACAGAGTCATGAACAATTAACTAATTTCAATTTAGTGCTGGGTGTTCAGGCTGGGCATTACTCTGTTTCTCCTAAATGGATATTGGGAAAGGCCTCTCTGTTTTCTTTACCAAATCAACGATTCAAGAGCAGCATGACCTAATAATTGTCACCATCTCATTTTTATTTCTCAGTCTCTTTGCAAGCAGAAGTGAAACAAACTAGTTAGATACCATTAAGGAAAAACTGGATGTTATGTACACAGATACAGGTAACTTCCCATCATATAGAGAGATAGATAGTATAGGAATGATGTAATGTTGAGTAGGGAGGCTGTTTAACCCTTCTGTGTGCTTGCTGCTTTTTCTGGCACCTCCCCTCCTTCCCCACATGGATGTCAAAATCTTTTCTGTCATGGTTGTGGTGTGTGTGCAGAGGAGAAATACAGCAAGTATGGGAAAGAGGCACACTTAAGTTTGCAGCCTCCTGAAGCTGCTTCTTACTTCAATAGGAAGAAAACGCACACAGGAGAATGTTACATACATCTGTATATAATGCTTAGTACAGCTCTTAAAAGAATTCTTTGGAGATCAAAGAGATCTCTCCACAGGTTAATGTTTGAAGTACATATTTGACTTCTCTCTCGTCTTTTCTACAATGCAAAAAACATGTGCTGGGGAACCGGGGCAAGTCAGGGATTCCCCTAGTGTGTTTCTGACATATAGACAAGATGAAAGATGTATTAATTAGTACCCAACATGGCTCCATAGTGTGGCACAGCTCCTTAAAATGGCAACGTGTAACATGTCATTAGCCCTCAAGATCTTATCCCATTGTGGCCTTTTTGTGATAGCTGTGACAATATGTTTCAGCAACTGGTTTGGCTAGGATTAGCTGGTCAGCTTTGTGAACGACAAAATTCTGAATTATTGAATGGTCTTTAAACTAAAATATAATAATAATAATAATAATAATAATAATAATAATAATAATAATAATAATACTTCTGTTCACAATACTTTTAAGTGCCACCCTTGTCCCTAGAACCAAGGTAGTCAAAAATACCAGGGCAGGCACCAGTATACTTTCAACATCTATATGGTTTAACCCATGACTGTATTTTCTGTGATAATATGAAATACTGGATAATAGCAACATTACTTGTTTATAATTAATCATTTCCATGTTGTTAGGAAGATGAATTTAATTAAGCTGCAGTTTAATTAACAGTATAAATCATTTAGAGCAGAGGTAGACAACTTGGTCAGTGTGAAGGCCACACTGCCAACGTAGCCATGACTTGGACAGCTGCAGCTAATATGCATATTTAATTGCTCCCCATAATTTGCATATCATTTTAATGAAGCTGGCAGATGCCAAATTACAGTTGACAGGCATGTTACACTTGTACAAGATCCTTATACTGAAATTATTATTTCTTTCAGCATGAAAAGCTTAAGTAAACCGTAATATTTTGAGATTACAGTCTAAGGATTCTAGAAATATATGCATGTAGGCTTCTTTTTAAAATCACCTTTTCTGCCCAGTATCTTAGTGATCTCCATCACAATTGCAAACTTAGCTTTACATTCTTAAGGAACAGAAACATCTAGTCAGAATGTAAGGTGTTCTCACAAGCTGCGTGTCGGATCCCTAAAAAAAAAAGGTTAAAATGAGAAAAAAAACACATTATACAGAAGTGCATCTTAAAGCAGATATTTTGCATTTAATTTGTTTCCATATACTTCAGTATCAAACCAAAGGTGTGGCAAAGCTGTGTTGGCAGCTAGACCTTACTAATTAACAAGTTAATTTTCTACTACATTTTGTTAAAGTACATAGCAGTTTATTTGAAACAGTCTGGCCAATCTGCTACTTTAACCGTATGTTTCAATGCATCCACTATTGCCTGAAAAAACTCAAGTCAATGTTTCAGTCTGTTACAAATGTACATTCTGTTATCTTTTAGGAAATTCTGCATTGTTGCTGCCAAATACTGTATTGCACACCTAAGTCTCCAAACACTCAACAGATCTCTTTGTGTATCAGAGTCAGTGCTATTTTTCTAGAAAAAGAGGTGCTGGAACTCACCATGAACTCACCTCCTTTGTTTTCTTATAATGGCAATGGCACCCACCTGAGAGGTGCCTGAACTGAGTTCTGGTGAGTTCCAGCTGTAAAAAAAGCCCTGGTATGAACCCACACATTTCCAAATAATAGGATTTAAGACTTTCTGCGTGATTTATGAACTCAGCAAGCCAAACTGAATGCCATGCCCATTTTTATATGTTGCTTGTATGAGAACTACTGGCATAACTCGCCAGGAAGAATCACTTGTATGTGGAATGATTCCTAAGGTTTTCAGCAGTTTTGGCTTCATAGAATGAAGTGTAGTTGGAATATATCATCTCTGGATGTCTTCTGATCTTACGTTTGCTGTTAAAAACTTAACACAGAGAACTGCATCAGGCTGCTTTACCAGAAGGCAGGAAGAGAATTATTGAAATATGTAGCACCATGAATAGGAAGATAGTCTGTGCCAGGTAAAGGTAGTTACAGCAATTGATATTTTTACAAGGCAAAAGTAGAAATGTGCAATTAGTCACCACCACATTTTTGAAAAGCAAAGCCTGCAGTTATGTAGTCAAAAGATCTATTTTTTACAAAGCATATCAAACACAGGTAAAAGGACCCCTGGACGGTTAAGTCCAATCAAATTTGACTATGGGGTGTGTCGCTTATCTCTGCTTTCAGGCTGAGGGAGCCGGCATTTGTCCACAGACAGCTTTGTGGGTCATGTGGCCAGCATGACTAAATCACTTCTAGTGCAACAAAACACTGTGATAAAAAGCCAGAGTGCACAGAAATGCCATTTACCTTCCCACCACAGTGGTACCAATTTATCTACTCACACTGGTATGCTTTCAAACTGCTAGGTTGGCAGGAGCTGGGACAGAGCAACGGGAGCTCACCCTGTTGCACAGATTTGAACTGCTGATCTTACGATTGGCAAGCCCAAGACGCTTGGTGGTTTAGACCACAGCACCACAAGCTTTCCTATCAAACACAACACCTACATGAGTGTAGAGGAAGAGAGCATAGGGCAGGATTCGCCTAAGGAGCCCTGTCAATAGAAACCTGCACAATGATTTCGCTTGTGCGGTGCGGTTTCCCCACTCCTGACATGCCCACTGAAATTTGTTCTGGGGGTGTCAGGAGAAACCACAGAACAGAGTGTGTGGGAAGAGAGGGGGGTCATTCGAGCTGGCAAACTAAATGGAACAATAAATGTTGGCACACATTTCCCTCTGACAAAGACAAAGTTGCAGGTGTGAAGTGGCTTTTTGCTGTTTACCAATCTAAATGATTCGGAAAACAGCAGTAAGGTGCGGGGAAGCACATTCACCCACATGAAGGTGTGTATATGTATTTCACAAAAAGGCACTTATTTCCCACTAATCCTGCCTAAGGAAATCAGAGCAGTATGCACTAAAAATAGCAAACAAAGTACCGTAAACAACAAAACAGGCTCTTGGCATTGTCAAGGGGTCACTGGTTCTATTTGTTGTTCTTGTAAATATCTGTTGCAGATGTCTACAAATCAAGACCTCCAAATATATGTTAGGATGCCTATTGTAAATAACTTTTATAAAACAAGCCAATAGTGTTATTAATGGAAGAGAAACAATACCTTATTATAGATTCAGGTTTTTAGAGGACTTGAATTAAGAATAAATACAGGACCATAAATACATAGGGTTTTTAACTTTTCTTTTTTGTAATTTGAGCTCAACATTATATTTCCTAAACTTTTAGAATGGTGCAGCTATTTACTTATTTCAATTTCCCCCCACTCCTTGAAATAATTAAGTAGTCTGCATGGCATTTGTAGATGTTCCTTGCACTATTTCATTACGCTGTGGAAGCAGTGTTATTCAAGCACAACAGTTATGGCAAATCAGATAGGGATAGACATTTCCCCAGCATTGGGAACCAAGATCTCCTCTTGAACAAAACACAAAAGAGCTGAGCCTTCAATGAGAAGCCACAATTGAGCTGTTGTAAACACATATGCATGTCTGTTTTGATCTTCAGAGTGGGGATGGTTGGGACTTGCTTAATTTTGATGTGACGGGCTGCTTGGGAGGTGGATTTCAAACCGTCTCCTTATTCCTGTTTGTGTTTCTTTCTTATTAGCATGAAAACCAAACAGAACACTTAGCTTGCCGAACAATACGATCTGGAAGGGTGGGGAATGGAACCTATGTATCCAAGAGTCTTCAGACAGACCCATTACTTCTAGTTCACTTCCCCAGCACACACTGGCATTGTTCAATCACATTAGTGGCAGAAGGGATTCGACCTCACCAATCGAGCTATAGGAACAGTGGTGGATGTTAAATGCTGTTTAAAATTATTCCAGCTACCTCCCTGGGAAATTGACTGACTTTGTAGCATAGCATTCTATCCTTACACAGCAGGAGAGCAATCTTTAAAAAGCACAGTTAATTGCCACGGACAGATATGTAAAGGGTGCTGCTGTGGTGGGACCAGAGTTTGATGTGTTTTATGGCAGTTTTGTGCTCTGAACTGCAGACAGATAAGAGACTCAGACAGTTTGCTAGAAGAGCTTAGTATTAGCGTTCTGGGGACAGGAGGGCAGTAGAAGTTATATGTAAATTAAGGAAATATATTGCAGGCACTGTTACGATTATGCTGACATTGTAGTTCGCAACAGCTACTGTACTGTCTGTTGTTTGGGGTGAGGGGGGTAGAAGATAGTGCCTTTGCATGGAAGCAACCAAATGTTAGGGAGAGACCGGAAAAGCTCAAAACATAGTTACTGCTTAAAATATCAATAGTGTTCTGAAGGTGTTTGGTGGGTTTGTTCTTTCATTTTTCTGACTTGATGGGACAGGGAATTTGAGGGGGGTGTTTGCAGGATATTTTACATATGGTAGTAAAGATTCAGGAGAAAGAAGGTGGCAGCTCACACGCCAGATCAAGACAGATGCTCACAGATACAAGCTGATACATTGGTACCAAACAAGCAAACCACTGAAAGATGTGACAAAAGAACAAGAAGCATACACCAGTGTTGTGGCCCTATAAGTTTTTCTTTTAAAAAAACTTCTCCAACTGACAGGACTAAATAATAAACCATCACAAGTTACCAAACAATGATAAAATAAAAAATCAATGACAATACCCCAAGAAGTGAAAAAACAAAACAAAACCGTGTTCTTTACCCAGCATTTTCCCATTGCCTATGTATATTTAATTCGTAACTCAAGTGCTTTTCCCCCCATCCTGTGCAAAACTAGCACAAAAAGAGCTGCCATTGCAAGCCCAGAGGATTAGGCTGCAAGACTTTATGTCACTTTCCTATAATTGTGCTATAATCAGTGGCTTACCTTATATTTAACATTTTCTGATAAGGCAGTGTCATAAAAGCAACACCCTCAACAATCCATTGGCATCTTTGCTTCTATGACAGCAGATGCTTGATCAGATACATTTTTTCAAAGGTCTATTTACATAGCGTTACCATATTTTGCCAACTGCAACAACAGTTGTAAGAATGTATAGTTGCATCCTCTGTTCCAATTAGAAGAGGCTAGGGCCAAAAAAAACTATTCAGGTATTTATACGCCTAACAGTGAAGATGTCAAAATAGAAGCAAATCACTCATTTGCCACTGTATCTACCCTTTCACCAATCCATCTACTCCATTTTTTTCTTTTGTTTCATAGCTTTCTCTAGACTATAAGTCTAGAGGAATGAACCCCAACTCTTTGAATAAATCTTGGCATTTATCTAAGTCATTGGTGATGAATTTTTAAAACAGGCCCTTTGCACTGCAGAGGACGTACCGTGCTTGCAGTAAAGCCTCTCTTAGTTGCTTAACTCCCCCCCCCCCGCCGCCTTTTAGTCATCTTCTTTTTCTAAATGCACTTTTACTGGTTTTATGTTCTTATAGGTGGTTAATGTAAGAAAGATGAATTAACAAACATGCATAAAGAAGTAAAGTTTCCCAGTACCATATCTGCACACAAAGATCCTAATCTTGAGCTTTATGTAGTATTTACTATGATGAGAATAGTCCTATTTCTTCTATGGCTAATTGAGGAAGCAGCGAAGGTTGTATTGCATATATGTAGGCAGAAAGTTACCTATGGCACCTGTTATTTCAGTATTAAAAGAAAATATTTTCACCCTATTTTCTCAAGTTTTAAGATCAGTGCATTTATAGTGCATTTTTTCCACCCACAGCTGAAGAGGAAACAGCCTCTTACAGACAAGAGGAACACCTTACAAAAAGATTACAAAATGGTTTGCTCGAAATATGGCCTTTTCAAGCTCTAACCAGAGAAACCAGAAGCCTACACAGAACAACGTGGCCAGACCCATGTAGAGATCAACATCCAATGTTAACGATTTTCAGTGAAGTGTGTTCAAATAAAAGCATAAAAGCCCTGCTGTTGGAATGTGCCATTACTAAACGATCTTTCAAGACTGATTGGTAGCAGGTCTTTTGTTATATACAAGAAAGTCAGAAACATCATGCCAGACATTACTGTCATCATACAGGTAGGTCATGGATGATTGCAATGATGGCTGTAGAGTGTGTCGGTGGTACTCAAAGAGCCAGAGAACAATCCCCCAAACCAGAGCAGCAAAGAGTGGAAAGGGATCTTGTTTTGGCTCTGGGATGTAACCTTTCTCCACTGCCAGTCGGGACAAGCCAAACAGGATACGAGACAATAGGTACATGTTTATCTGTAGGGGGAAATTGTAAACAAATATTAGGCAAGGAACATATCTAGAAAGTGATTATTTCAAACAGTCCTCAATTTAGGCAATCACCAAGTTGGTTTTATGTCAAATCATTTTTTTAAAACATGATAATGCTTTTGTAGTCTCTCAGCTGGGCTGTTTGCCGTTTTTAGCAACAGTGTATGATCGAGCATTGCAAAATTTAGTTGCTTGAAAAAGTAATTTGTGTGCGCAGTTGAAAGATTACTATTTTCAAAGCTGATGCAGAGTAAACCTAGGGAGAAACAAAAATATACCTAGAGACCCTAGTCTTTTTATACTGGGGGGGGGGGAGCCCTCTTCCCACTGCAGATTTCTGTAGAACCTCTTGCCACTGCAGCTTTCTAATTCTGTGAAACATTAAAAAATATCACTAACTGCAGCTTTCAAAGGCAAACCATTTCTCCAAGAAGAAGCAATATGTTGAGCTAGATGGGTCACTGGTGCACCAGTTAAAGCAATGCTTATATTTAATTAAAAACCTGATCAAAACAGGCAGCTGAAAGAAGCAGAAACTGGTGATGGGACCGAATTAATAGAATTCTGAGCTAATACAACCCTTTCCCCCATTCTATAGAGCACCTTGGTGAGTGAAAGATGCAGAAGTGTTGGGGCACAGTTATTTTATTGTCCTCAAGTTTTAACTTGAAGGGCAGTTAAATATGAAGCAACCTGGATCACTAACATCACTTGATTTTCACTTTGCATTAAATGGGCAGCAGTATAAACCCAGAAGCACACAACACCATCATTTACCTGGCTGTTAATATTGTTATTTTCTCCAAACACCAACCAGCCTCCAATGCAGGCTGCGAGGAAAGAGTGAAATGGGATCTTCTTTCCCTGCATTCGCGACTGTAGGGCCAACAGGCCCTTGTATGTGAATACAAAGTATGCCAGGTTTCTGGAATGAGTGTAAGTGGCACGAACAATTGCTTTCAATTTCTCCCTTAAACTAAGAGAAAAAATGAAGACCGGTTATTACAGATAGTACACTCTTTAACTAAAAGAGAAGTGAATAAAAATTAACTACTAAGTTGTAACCTATGATCTACTTCAGGAAGTCACAGTGATCATTTATCCCAGTTCAGAAAGCAATAAAATCTAAAGACAGATTAGCCAATCTATTAATAATTAAATTAATATGGACATGAATAGATCCCATAGTAAATGTGACATAATGGCAGCCTAAGCCCCAATGGACACAACCAAGACTTTCTTCCCAGTAAACAGGCTGTGCTGTTGGGCTGCCATTCTAAACCTGCCTTCTGAGTGCATATTCATAGGATAGCACTAAACATGTCATTTGTAGCCTTTAATTAAAAATAAAGAAAATGACTATTCATTAACACCAAGAAGACATACAATACAAGTCTCCTTGTATTCTAATCTAGTTGCTCTATTCCAAAGAAATGCAGAGAGAGAAAGAATGTTCTGTTTTTTGTTGGAATGGTTTTTAGTTGTTTTTTATAATTGTAAGATTGTACAGTTATAATTGATTCTGGGACCTTACGGTGAATAAATCTTATAAATAAATAAGGAGGATCCTGTTTCACTGGGTTTAATATGCACAGAGGACAATAGCTGTACAGTACTGAACCTTATCAAATCACATAGTCTTATAAAGAAATAATCACACACACACATATATGAAAAAGAAAGGGACTGATAAATATACCTTCCACTCCTGAAGAGAAATGTCATCACTAAAGCATGGGGGGCACGTATTTTTGCTCCATACCTGGCAAAAGGAAAGAAGATAATAAACTCTGCACACATGTACAAATGTTTTGAATCAAGTTATTGATTCATTTGTCCAGTGCTTTTTTTCTTAAAAAATGTTTAGGGGTACTCTCATTTAGACTCAAGAAAACCACCATTTTATAGTTCAAATCGGGAAAAATAAATACAGTAAATGGCCAAAAGTACAAAGATTTACAAAATGTTTAGGGGTATGCGTACCCCTGTCCCCCCCCAAAAAAGCACTGCATTTGTCTCATTAGCCATAAAGTAATCAATTTTTCAGAGAGAACCATTTATTTATGGCTGTATGATATGTGCAGGTATGCAGATTACACTAACGGCAATCTTTGGCAATCTTCGCGGAGCTCTGGCCCAATGGCTGCCAGTGGCTTGAATTAATTAATTTTAGAATGAATGATTTTAGAGTTTTGTTTATGCTGTACTTTTGTACTGTTTTATTGTTGTTAGCCGCCCTGATCCCGGCTAAGGCTGGGGAGGGCGGGATATAAATAAAATTTATTATTATTATTATTATTATTATTATTATTATTATTATTATTATTACGGCAGCTCAGTTCACTTTACAGCGGGGATAGGTAACCTTTAGCCTTCCAGAAGTTGCTGGCCTAAAACTTTATTGTCATCTTGTAATTCCTGGCCATCCATGCAGGCTGAGGCTGATGGCAGTTGGAGTTCAACAATACCTCAAAGCCCCCAGTCCCCCTCCCTCGCTTTACACGTAACTCCACTCTGCATGTAAACCTGATTTTAGAAATGTGTGTAAAGTAGAATGCAACATGATTCGGCAACAAATAACTTCTGAGGTATTAAATATATTTCAACAGTATTAGTTTATTGGCTATGGCTTATGTTGATGGATTTTGCCTCTTGTTGTAGAAATAGTTTTGGATTAGCATGTTTAAGCCCCACCCTGACATTCAAGAAAAAGAACATGGCAAGGGTGTGGTTTACACATACTAATCCAAACCTATTTCTACAATAGGAGGCATCATGGATTTAATATTTAATAACTCAACCTTGATTTCAGGTCACTGGAAAAACAACCATAAATCCAGGTTTTGGCTTCAACTGAAGTGAGGTGCACACAGAAAATTAAACAGACGTGGTAAACTTATTTATTTACTACTGTTGTGGACTTTTCCTATTATTGTTTTAACTTTTTTATAAACCGCTTCGAGGTTCCCCCCTACAATCAAGCGTTGTATACATTTTATAGAAACCGTAATAAAATACTGTAAACAAATAGCTGGCAGTCATATCTACTGCCATAGGAGCCAACTCCTAGGGACCGAGAGGTTCCATTGCCTCCCTCCCTTGAAATATTTGAGGGGGCCGCCTCCCAAAGTTGATGGTCAATGCCATTCAAACGGTGTGCGTGCGCTTGCCTTTGTAATCGATTATGTGGGGCGGGGCTTACCTGCCCCTTCTTCCCAATATTTTAATTCAAGTTGGCACGCTTGTCTACTGCCACCTCGTCAAAGACGTGGCTGTCAATCCTCTCAGAGAAAGACTCGTCCACTATCAGATACCGTAGTTAATTTTTGCTTAGAAGAAACCCTCGGCGATTCAAAGACGGCCCTGCGCCAGAAAGAAAGCGAGCCTTCATTCCCACCACCACACACACACGAATCGTGTTTGTTTCTAACACTGACGGAGAGGGCATTCCCCGTGGAAAGGGCTTTTTGGAGAGAGTCCTTTGCCCCCAGCTGGTGGCTTGCAAACTACCCGGGAGGCTTTCCCGCCCGGCCGGGGCTCGTTTCCTCCCTCAGAGCTCCTCGTTGGAGCGGCGCCCGCCCAAAGGCTCCGCCCACGGCCGACACGGGAGCCCCTCAGCCTCCTTTCCCGGACTAGGGACGCGGTGGGTGGGGGAAAGGAGAGACGGTCCCTCTCCAGCCAGGGCTTACACTGCTCCGTTACGGAAGCCCTTGACGACGGCCAACGCCGCCTGGTATCTGCGCTGCTGCAGCAGGGAGTTGACGGTGTATAGCAGGGTCCGCAACATCGTCTCGCCCCCCATGGCCGAAGAATCTCTCGCGCTCTCCTTCTCTCGCGCTCGCACACCAGTCCCGGCGCTTTCGCAACCCGAGGGGACGATTTGCCTAGAGCACCGAATGCATGGAAATGGGGCTTGAGCAAAGAGCGTCGGTGTGGAAAACTCAACCCACGCACTACAGTTCCGCCCAACCGAGGGAAGGGCAACAAAAACGATAGCAGGTGCAAGCAGCTAGGGGGGGGGAAAGTTCTATGGGCTTCTCTCCGTTCAGTCACTGGTCCGATGAGGGCGAACGGGGCGGTGCCGCACCTACCTCACTTTGCCCTCAGACAACCTTCGTTTGTCTTCTTGCTTACAACCTGTCAGGGGACGGCTTTGCTTCTCGTCGCCTCTGGCTCCACCTACTGTTGGGTTTTCTCTGCCTTCTCCCTTACCAATCTCAAATGGGCACCAGCCCCACTGTGTTTATCTCTCCCCCCCCCCCCCCTATTTTACACAGCGCTAGTGGGAAACGATTCTGTGTACAAGGTTGTCGTAAGTGACTCCCAGCCTAATCTGCCCCACATCTGGTGATAGAATAACACTGAACTATATTTTCACTTGCAGCACATTTTCAAAAACTTCGAGAACTACCTTCTTACACACACAGTAAGACTACTGCTTTTGAAAGAGCATAAACTCTTGATTTTGCTTCTGTATTAAAAAAAAAAAAGATGTAGAGGGTGTGGAGCCAAATCACATTTATAATGCATCTAGATTCAGGTAGGTAGCCGTGTTGGTCTGATGCAGTCGAAATATATATATTAAAAAATAATAAAAATTGTCCAGTAGCACCTTAGAGACCAACTATGTTTGTTCTTGGTATAAGCTTTCGTGTGCATATCTGAAGAAGTGTGCATGCACACAAAAGTATCAACCTGCACCAGCACAGCCATCAGGAGGATCAACCACATGAATCTCCCCTGTTGGTATCCGTCTGCCTTAGGAGACAATGGAGGAGTGCGCCTTTGGGGGTGAAATCAAACTGTTGGAAGGTTACAGAGCCTTCGGGGGCTGGTCGAGACCGATACGGGAGAGAGACATGTTTTGTTGCAGCTGAGGCAAATGAAGATGTCTGGTTATGCTGCTGCACTTAAACCATGGCATTTCTTCTCTCTGCGCCCCTCCCAGCAGTCATTCCTCCTCTGGTCCTGCTATGGATACATGACCTGACTTTGTTTCTCCAGGCACTGTGGTCGTCTGCAAGGGATTCCCACACAGCAGGGTTGATGTTGCCAGCCTTCATGTCACATTTCCAGACATCTTTGTAACACAGAGTTGGTCTGCCAACAGGCCTAGTGCCTGAAACCAGGTTCCCATACAGAGCACATCCTTAAGGATCTCGCATCTTCCATTCTGTGAAAATGACTAAGCCAGCCTAGACGTCAATAAGACAGGAGTGCAAACATGCTTGGGAATGTGGGCTTGGAAGAACACATCTCTGTTTAAGACTCTGTCCTGTCGTGTGTCGTGCAAAATTTTTCTTAAGCAGCTGGTGCCGCTTCTGACCATGGGCATAGGAGCCAGGATTTATGTATGGACACCCACCTACCACCATCCTATGTCTGGCTCTGTCTAGCAGATTTGGAATGGCACGTCTCAACATTATTAAAGTCTCCCATCGGATACAACCGATGTGTAGAAAGGACTGAAAGGCCCTGAAAATAGAGGCAATGCGTGTACTTCTGTAACCCAAGAAAACAATTAAAAAACAGAGTTGTTTCGAATTACCTTTCTGTTGACTCAGAAAAATCTATCGAAGTCTTTCTACTTTCAGTTAGTACTGTAGTAAAAGGAGATGAGAAGCTTTATGGCTACTTTGAGTTAAGTATTTCCATTTATTTACATCACGGGGGTGCAGCTCCCGCCCACGCCCCCTCCGCGCTTGGACGTTGCCCCCCACCCGCTTCCATAAAGCAGCGCCCTCAGCACGCGCGGAGCGGCTCTTCCCTCAGCCGGCCTCCCCTCCCCGCCCCCTCTTGCTCCCCCTGGCGGCAAAGCGAGCCTCCCTCTTCCTTCCCACAATGCCCGTTTAGGCTGCTCTGCCTCGGCTCCAAGATGGCGCAGGCGATATTCGAGGCGCTGGAAGGTATCTACATCTCGATATCGGGGTGGGGGTGTGCGTGTGTGCGTGTAGTCGGGCGGGCTGAGGCCTAGCGCTGGTTGGGGAGGCGCCGAGGCGCCGCAAGGACAGACGCGGCTGTTCCACGCCGGGCGCCTCCCCTCCCGCCGCTGCGGACGGGGCAGGGGCTGAGAGGAGGACGACGCGGGGCCGCCTCCGGGCAGCGCGGGGGCCGAGGGAGGGTTCACGGAACAGCCGCTCAGGCGGCCCCGCTGCGCCTCTTTCCCGCGGAGGAGCAGCAGCTGCAGCAGGCGCTGCCAGCCTGCGGGCGCGGCTCTTCCGGCTGCTGCCGGACTCGGGGGGCGCAGGGAGGCGACGGGTGTCCTTCTGGGTGGGATTTTGTACTGCAGGATCTAAGCAAAAAGACTTTCCTACACCCCTCAACGATACCTCAGTTTCCCCTTCCTTCCAAAGCAGGGTTTTCCAAGCTGGACTACAACTTCCATCATCCCTAGCTGGCAGGACTAGTGGTCACAGATGATGGGGATTGTAGTCCAAAAACAGCTGGAGATCCAAGCTTGGAAACCCCGTTTTAAGGGTTTCTCCCTTGCTTTCAGGATGCAGAGCTTATTGTGGTTTGGGGGACATGACAGCCACCATTCGCAGAGACCTTGAATTCCTTCAACATCTGCGACTTTAAAACTTGGTTGAGCTTCTTGTGCTTTTGGAAAGGTTGCCCCGCAGAGTGGATGGCTGCTTGTTAATCAGCTGTAAATTAGGGCTTGTTCCTACACAAATGGTGCTAAAAATTGGTTTTTCGTGTTCCCACTGTCTTAATTCATGTACCTTCATCTTGGCCAAAATGTCTTCTTTAAGAACATGTTGGATCAGATACACCATCCGACTCACCCAGCACCTTGGTTTTCTACCATGGCCAGATGTTTCAGGGAATCTCACAGAGAATCATAGAATCAGTGTTAGAAACTGAGATATGAAAGCAAGGGGCTAAATGGCACCTTAAGCCTAGGTTATGGGCGCAACAACGGAATGTCTAGCTGCACTTTTTTATAACAAAAATACAAAGCTGAAAATGAATGAACTGCAGCTAAAATATTATGTTCATTTTTCACATGGTCTAGTCCTTCACTTGCCCACCCCCCTAATACAGTATTCTTAAGAGGGTCTCTTCTCCAGTTTTCAGATAGTAGCTGGAAGTGGGGAGGCAGAAAAAGCTCCTCCTTTCCTTCCACTCTGCAGTTTTTAATCTGAAAACTTAGGTGCAGTACTGCTCCCAGAGCTCAGAAACTGCTCGTGCTAATGAAATTCCCTGTCGCAAAATATGCCTAGAACAATGGGAGTTTCAAACACTGCATAGAATTGTGGAGTTGGAAGGGACCCTGAGGACATCTAGCCCAACCCTCTGCAAAGTGTCCATGACAGCTAGCTATCCAAGACCTGAAGGAATACAGTAATTCTAACTACTCTTCCCCCCCACCAGTAACTGCCACTGAACCTGAAGAGTGCATATAGGATCATGATTTGTAGCCATTATTCTCAATGGATTTGTCTAATTCTAAGCCTCCTGAACAAGTAGCCATCACATCTTGTGGCATTGATTTCTATAAATTAATTGTGCACTGTGCAAATCAGTGCTTTTCTGCCCAAACTCTCTTCCTGATCAATTTAATTGGATGATTAATTGGTAACCATTTAAAACAGTGATCACTTCCTTCTCTGTGCAGTATCCTATCAATCTGTATTGGTTTAGTTAGCCCTAAAATTCATCCTTCCCTTTCAAATATAATAGTGTGGTTGTTGACCATAACATAGATGTTATGGTGATTTTTTGGAAGTTTCTCCAGTACAGCTTATTTGCTAGATTTAATCCGTGTTTCAGATTCAGTAAAATACTTCCCATGAACCTGCAGAAAACTTAGCTGGCCTTGATTGATATGCGTATTTCTTTAGAAGTGGGGCTCACTACCTAGTAAGTGTGTTTAGCTTTGCAATCTAAATGTGTGCAAGAGTATAGATGATGCATTTCTAACATTTCTTTTTGGTAACACGCCCCCCCCCCCCGTGAGATTGACACCTGATGTCATAAAGATGCAGCTGGGCTAAAAAGGGGGATGCAAACACAGCTGATGAATGGCACTTGCAAATACCCATATACAGTGCTTTGAAGTCCCAACAATCAGCCAATCACTGGGTCTTGCATATAGCCATGCACAGGTTGTTGAAGCCCTGACAAGCAGCTGATTGGTGGCTACATAGAGCAGATTGTGGTATTTTGTAGCCCTGATAATCAACATTGTTGGGATGTCAAGTGCCACACCAGGCTTTTTTCATGCACTGACGATCAGCGGATTGTTGAGGCTTCAAAGCACTGTGTATGGTGTTGTCAGATGATTGTCAAGTGAGCAGGCTTGCTCCAGTTCCCCATCCGTTTTAGTGCTTTTTAGTGACGAGCCTTTTAACCCACTTATTCCTACACTTATGCACTAGAAATAATCATTCTGCTTTTACTGGTAGAATCTTAGAAAGAAAGCCTTAGCAATATTGTCAATCTTGTTGCTTTCATAGGGTAATAAAACATGTCAGGTTTTAAAAATTGTGGGGTATTGATATCCTAAAAGGCAAAGGTAAAGGACCCCTGACAGTTAAGTCCAGTCGCAGACGACTCTGGGGTTGTGGCGCTCATCTCGCTTTACAGGCCGAGGGAGCTGGCGTTTGTCCGCAGACAGTTTTTCCGGGTCATGTGGCCAGCATGACTAAGCCACTTCTGGTGCAACAGAACACCGAAACCAGAGCAGCGCACAGAAATGCCATTTACCTTCCCACCGGAGTGGTACCTATTTATCTTCTTGCACTTTTTGGCGTGCTTTTGAACTGTTAGGTTGGCAGGAGCAGGGACCGAGTAACGGGAGCTCACCCCGTTGCGGGGATTCAAACCGCCAACCACCTGATCGGCAAGCCCAAGAGGCTCAGTGGTTTAGACCACTGCCCCACCCGCGTTGTTATTGATATCATAGGTGACTGTAAATCAAAAGGTTTAAAAAAAGTAGAGAAGAAGGGAAAAGGTTATATTATAATCTGGTTGGGACATGGGGGTCCTGCAGCA